GGGGGGGGGGGGGGGGGGGGGGGGGGGGCGTTCAGGGAAAGGACACTCCGTGGGCACAGTAGTGGTGATGGGGCCGAACACCGGCCCAGCGCGAGATGGCCTTGGCACAGGGTTTTCCCCAGGCCCCAAGGAAAGAAGGAAAGAAGGAGAGAAGGAGAGAAGGAAAGGAGGAAAGGAGGAAAGGAGGAAAGGAGGAAAGGAGGAAAGGAGGAAAGGAGGAAAGGAGGAAAGGAGGAAAGGAGGAAAGGAGGAAAGGAGGAAAGGAGGAAAGGAGGAAAGGAGGAAAGGAGGAAAGGAGGAAAGGAGGAAAGGAGGAAAGGAGGGAAGGAGGAAAGGAGGAAAGGAGGGAATAAATTCATCAAGAAAGAACGCAAGAAAGAAAGCAAGAAAGAAAGCGGTAAAGGAAGAAAGAAAGAGAACATAGGGGCAGAGTTCGCGTCTGAATATTTGTTTGGGGGGAATACTCTCCCTGATGTGTGAGCTCACTGTGAGTTCCCAGCTTTTTCGCTCCGAGTTCGCGTTGGACCTTCCCTGGCCTTCATGCCCCGTGGAAGAAGAAGAAGGAGAAGAAGAAGTAGAAGAAGAAGAAGAACAAGGAGAAGATTAAGAAGACAGAGAGAGAAAACGAGTGAGCGAGAGGAGTCGTAACTTGCAGTTGATAGTTTGCCTCCGAGGGTTTTGACACCGCAAGTCCCTTCGTTTGGGCAGCTCCTTCTCGTCTGGAGGTGGGGTGGACCTGTCGTTCCTACATCCACGGGGCCACGAATGCGACGTCAGTTTGTTCCCCGATTTGTGGGGATGGGCTGATCGCCGGAGCAGAGGCTTGAGATGGTGACTGCCTTGCGATGGTGGTAGCATGCTGTATCGTAGCTACGAACAGGGCATCTTCGCTTCAGTAAACTGACCTGCTTGACAGACGCAGCCTTCTGCAGCCATGCGCTGCTCGAGGGGTCTGCGTGCACTCGGGCTGTGCTAGGGCTTCACTGAAAGGATCCCGTGCCATGGTTGTCCCCCGAGCCCGTGGGCTAGACTTCCAGGCGCTCCAAGTTCCTCCAGCATCCTGGGGCGAAGCCACTGCAATAGGCCCGACAGCCACAGATGGCAGTTTCATTGTGTTCTTTCCTCGTGTGGGGTTCAAATACCTGGACCTTTTGGCCGAGACTGCTTCCTGGAGAGATGGCGCACAATTCTCAGGATCTATTGATGCAAGCTTCGGTATCCTGCACCATCACACCGGAGACTCTTCGTTCATATCCTTTGCAGAGGCACCACCGAAGTCCTGGACTTGCTATCAGCTCAAAGATGGCAAAGCACCATCCGCAGAACTGACAGAGAGGCTTTGCCTCCCAGGTGAGATCCGCGCTGTTTGTGATGCAGGGGATGGCTTTGCGGCTCTTGCGGTCTCTAGTGGCCAGGTTCGTTTTGTGGACTTGTCAACTGGAAGAACTGGCAAAGGCCTTAAGCTGGCCGAGGCAAAGGCAAAGAAGACGGTGGCATTGGCCCGACTTGCGCCGCGAAGAGTGCTTCTGATTCGGGAGTCGCGTGGAAGCATCGGGCCAGAGTTTCTGGTTGTCGAGCTTGACGACTTCCACGTGGTCTCTTTGCAAAGACGGGGCACCCTTCACATGGGTTCCATCAGCCTGCCCCTGGGGCAGCTGGAATCCTTGGCGGTTGCTGACGCGGACAGTGAGCGCATCTTACTTTGCTGGCGGGAGCCAGTTCTGATGAATGGCAGTATATCCAATGGCCACACCCAACCGGAAACGGTGCGGCACTTGGCCACTGCGACGCTGAGTGACAAAGACAGCACTCTCGTACTACTGCCCGAGTCCTCTATGAGCTGGCACAGCGTGGCAGGCTACTATGCAGAATGGCGATCTGAGGGCACTGCATTGGCCTTCCACTTGCGTGAAGCCCGCTACGGCTTGGCAGTCGCGTCGGGGCAAGCCCCATGGTCCAACGACTCCAACTCAAGCTCGCCTAGGCAGCCGGTCGTTGCTCGAACGGCTGGGTCGGTAACATTGGCATGCGCGGGCAGCAGCTTTGCGGCTGTCAAGTGGCTGTTGTCACCATTCTCACTGAAAGGGCTTGTCGCTCGGCGATGTGCGGAGTCGCGCCAGGTGCGAAGAGCCTTGGATGGCGGCGCGGCTGCTTTACGCCGGAAGCGGCAGCGTGACGAAGAGAGCAGTGAGCGGCTCACCATGCCGCACTTGGCAGAGCTCGTGCGTAGGTGTGGAGCTTTGCAGAAGAACGATGTTGCCTTGCTGAAGGCCTGTCTCAAGCCGGAAGACGTGCAACCCGCAACCAAGATTCTCCTCAGTTGGCTGCGCATCCATCAAGGCCTCCCGGCTGGAGAAGTCAGGAAGGTTGCTCCTGGGATGCCGCGGCTTTCCTCCATCGTGCGCTTTCTGAAGGCGTTGGCGGATGCTTTCATGCCAGTGCTGGTTCGTGAGTCGCCCGACGACATCGAGGCGATCCTGGAGCGTCTGGCCGTTGCCAAGAGCACCTACTGCCGGGCCGAGAAGCTCTATGCTCGGGCGCGCGCCGCCTGCCGAGAGAGACCCCGAGCGAGCGAGGTGAAGACAAAGAAGAACCTGGAGATCCAGCGCAAACTCAAAGCTCCGAAGATGGAGATCAGTGTTCTGAAGTTCTGAGTGAGCTTTTCGGCTGCGTGATTGATTGGATGTTTCACTGCCAGGAGTCCGCAAGGGGCTCTGCTTTAGTTGTTGCATTGCTCTTTGCGTTCACCGAAAAGGCTCCAAATGTCCGGGAAGTGGAGGGAAACTCCAATCGAGACGCTTTTTTCAACGCTGTGCAGGCATGCGACGACGGCAATCTCGTGCCAGGCACGTCATCGGACCGTCAATCCATCAGCTGTCATCAACCTCACAGTTGACCTCCCGGTCCCTCATCCCCCAGATAGCTCCCCCCGCACCCGAAGGTGATGGATGCGACGGAAACTGCCAGGTGGAGGCGAGTGTTGGTTGGGTGCGGGGGTGGTCTTGCGAAAGTAAAGGTGCTTTTTGGGCTTACAGGAAAGACTCAGAGGTCAGACCACAGCAATCATCATACGACCTAACTGAAATAGGGGATAGGTGTTGGGACCGGATCCTGAAGATCGAACGTCTCCGCCCAGGTCAACTGGGTTTGCTGCGATCCAAAGCCCGGCAGCTCAGGCTGGTGGCGGTTTTGGGGAAACCAAACAGTAAACCATTTAAGGCTTCTTGTAAGCGTCTTAAATCCATCCCCGTTCCCAAAGCCACTGGTCACCTTGGTCCTCCTCCACATGCTCTAGAAAGACCACGGTCTTGAAAAGGCTCGGGTTGCGTCCCTGGCCTTGCCGTCGACCGGGAGCTGATCTGCGGCACACCAACCTGTGGTCTGGGTCCCAACTGACAGAGGTTTGGGGTTTAGGGTTTTGGGGGGAGTTGGGAGTTGCAGTTGCAGTGCTGACTTGACAGGTAACGGCCGACGCGACCCTGGGGAAGGCTGCGATGATGCCAACCGCATCGCAGGCGATGGCTGCGGGCAGCTTTGCCAGGCAAGTCATTGGGGCTGGGGGGGGGGGGTGGGGGCGGGAACCGTCGTGAACCATGTCCACTGACTGCTGACAGGTCGAGCCTGGCTACGCTTGTATCCCCATGGCAGTGCAAGGACCAGGCCAGTCCAGTGACGTTGCGCGGATTGAGATATACACCTGCAGTACTGGCACCTGCAACTTTGACAACCGCTCTGTCCAGGCCGCAACGTGCCAGACATCTGTGAGGCAGCGGTGTGCACGTGTGTTTCACACCACATTTTGTTGAGTATTTTGGAAGATCTCTGGATGTGCATAGGCCGGTTGATCGAATTTAGGTTTTGAGGTATCCGTATGCTCGCACCTCGATTCATTCAGCTCCTGAGTCCTGATCCTTTTGTCGAGTCAAAATGGTTTCAAGGTGAACTCTTGAGCCTCTGATTGAGCCGAGATGTCTAAATCTTTTTCGGGTCCGCTTTATGGAAGCGGCTTGATCTTCAAACCGAGACAGCGTCGGGGATGCGACGCAACTTAGTGCCGGGGCCCTGAACAAATCTGGACAGCTCGCCGTCACCCTGAATTGCATGCTGCCCGAATACAACCTTCCCTTACCAAAACTGTGAAAAACGTTGTAGACAAGGTCTCCAACACGATGCTAAATGCGGTGTCCTCCGCAACCCACCCAGCCACCCCCCCGGCCCCTCCCACGAGCCCTAAGCATCCCAGGGTCGAAGCCCCGAAACCTGTCGGAAGGCCGTGTGCGGGGACGGCCTTTTGGTCCTGGGTGAGGAGTGCGACGATGGCAACGTGGCACGCCACCCCAAGTTAGGCTGAATACCCCCCCTTCCCCTCCCCTTATTAACCGGCATGCTGTTAGGTTTAGGTAACTTGAGATTCAAGTTGGTTTGAGTCTGGGTCTTCTTGTTCAGATTCTTCAGACTGTCACAGCAAACGCCTCTCTGAAAGCCAGCGACCTACAACCCCAGCTGCCAGATCACCTGTGCAGGCAACTGGAGATGGCTGTGGTTCGGGTCCCAGCTGCACCAGCTGCGCCATGCACCTCCTCACATCAGGAAGCCCAAACCTGAAGCCCGCAGCCCTCAGCCACCCAAAACCTCTTGCCCCCCCTTGCAAGGCCCCAACTGCCTGCTGGAGCAGCAGGGTACCTCTTGCCCACCTACCTCCGACGGCAATGGGGGAGTGGCCCACATGCGACTTAAGGTTTAGCTTGGGAGCGATGTCGTTTTGTTGCCATGAGAAGCCTTCTTCTTGCTGCTGATGTGCTCAGATGCGCCAGTCATGGTGTCATGGTGAACATGTGCAGCGCATGAATGAAGCATTATCGGGGCCGAATCATGAGCCCTGATTGCCTGTCGAGTTGCGCACGAGGCTTTCGTAGGCTGAAGTCAGGCGTGAAGCGGCCGGAAGGAACAGAAGTTAAAACCAGATAGCGGAAAGAAGGGGATCAGCACGAGAAGTATGTGGCAGAGATATCCTTCCCACCCTTCTGCACCTACAAACCTTGAACCCGAAGGTTCCGTGCGCCAGCCCTACTGCCAGCTCCTCAACCCTACCTCAGGTCTCGCAACCCAACCCGAAATCTCAAGAGAACATCAAAACCATGACAGTGCCACCCACGCCCTACACAATTTAAAGAGGAACCCTACAGACAAAAAGTTCCAAAAATGGAGCCTTTTCTGGTGCCGGTTTGGGCACTCTACCGTAAGAAGTAGCCGTATCAAAGAAAGGAGCTATGTCAGCTGTCAGCCATGCACTTAGCAAACCATCCGAGGTTTGCCGCGCGACCTGCGGAGACGGAGTGCGGGGTCCTGTGGAGGTCGGGCTGAAGCGCCAACCACATAAGCCCCCCTAAGCGTACCCCCCATAAGTCTGTAATGCTCGGACGAAGCCCCCAACACGTGTTGAGGGTGATCTAGGCTCAGATCTGCATTTCTGGAGTTGGTTCTGAGGTGTAGGGGCCCTCCTGCTTGCTGTTTTTCCTGTGGGGATGTGGAGGTGGATCTTTCTGCTCCTGGGTGTGAAATACATGTAGAGAGACTTGAGTGATGCGGTGCGAGCGCACATGTGGGCTGTTGGTCATGGCGTCGGTTCAGGATTCTGCGTGTGCACCGGGTGCATGAGGGTTAAAATCTAGGACAAGCTCCCGCTCCTCAATCTAGCACAGTGCAAGAAAAAGAACAAGCCCAGCCCAACACATCCCAATAACCCCCCCCCCCCCAAAAAAAAAACAGGTTTCTTGAAGCAATCCGACACGGCACGCTCGAGGAATGCGATGATGGAAACGCCTTCGGCGGTGACGGTTGCTCTGCCACCTGCCAGGTGGAGAGGCTCTCTGCCTTACTTGGCCAACCCTCATGATGTACCGCGTTCGAAGGTTGTTACAGATTGTTGAGACTTTTTGTTGTGGTGCTATGATTGTCTATGTAGCAAGCCCTCGAGGGAACGCAGAATCAAGTTGGTGGCCCCCGAGTCCCCCCCTCACCAGGGGATTCACGTGCTCCGGTGGCGGCTTGAAGAGCATGGCCGATGACTTATCACAATACAGCGCGGGAACAACCGGTTGCCTGCAGTGACATGGGCTGGCCGACCCGAGCAATAAGAGAGTCATGCATGCTTGGATGTGCTTGGCGCCTCAAGCACTCAGGACACCTGCTGGCCTATTTGTGGGGATGGTCTGCGTGTGGACCGCGGCTTTGCGCCAACTCTGGCAGCTGAGAAGCTGGAGGCCAGGGTGACAGTCGTCGCGAAGCCCAAAGTCGAGGCTTTTCATCGTTCACTTTTCATCTTTCTTCGTTGGCTTCTGGGAAACAGAAGACTTCAGAAGACTTCAGACCACTTTCCCGGAAGGGCGCATTTTTAAAAAATTTGCTCTTTATCGGCTAGATAGCACTTGCTTCCCCCAGGGCTGCGACACGGGCCCTGTACCATCCAGGGGTCAGTCGCCCAGAGCGAAACACAAAAGCACTTTGTCTCTTCAGCATGGCTGGCATGGGAGAGTTTTGATGACAAAGCCGAGGCTGCGATGCTGCTACTTGTCAAGTCCGGGTAGGTCTGGTCCCAGCATGTCCCAGCTCTGCAGTGCTTAGTGCTGAAGTGCGACATTGTGATGTTTGGTGCCCTAAGTCCGAAGCGGCTAAGGCCGCTAAGTCGGCTAAGTCCTAAGTCCAAAATTCCTCTCGCCAGGCTGGACATGTGCTCGGCCAGAAGGCCAGGGCATGGAGGCGCAGGACTTGGGGTCCATGGGGTGCGAAGAATGTGCAACACAACTTGGGGGGCGGGGGGGGGGGGGTGGGGGGGCAAGTTGGGGCAAAGTTTGGGCAATCACCCCTTGCCTCATCAGGTCTGCTCGCCCGTGTGTGGTGATGGCATCCTGGTCACGCCGATTGAAGAGTGTGACGATATGAACTTGCAGTGGGGCCCTTGGAATCAAAGTGGCTCCCGGACTCTTGAGGTTGCCCTTGGAACCGATGAACCGTCAGGCCGGGTGATGGATGCAGCCCAGACTGCAAGGTGGAGGCCTTCTTCGAGCTGGCGGCTCGGAGTCGGGGTTCGAGAGGGTATGCTGAGTTAGCCTCGCAATTTCCGGGGTTCGGGGGGAGGCTGGGGACGCACTTGAGAGGTGCAGCTACGATGACTTCTGGCTTCGCTCCGTGTGCAGCGTGCGCTGTGGAGCTCCAGCCCAAGCACTTCCAGCACCCTTGCATCTCAGAGTCTCTTGCCATCTGAGTAGCGAACGGTGCTTTTTTTTGTACTGCGCCCTGCTGTTCGTCTCTGCTCAAGACTTCGGGAGTCTTGTTTTTAGTTCCTAGATGGCGGCTTCATCAAATGTGCCGTCTGTCGGGGGACGTGACATAAGTCGTGGAATCCCTCGCCGTGCGGAGCATGGCTGTGAGCAGCATTCCACACTGCGCAACTCACCAAGTGGAGGACCTCAGTGCAATCGATTCGCGGGTATGTGCGAAGAGTTAGCCGAAAACCTTCGCCTTCATGAGAATGGCATGTGCCGCCCATGTGTGGCCTTCGCATTCAGAGAAGGGGGATGCTTCAAGGGTGAGGCATGTTCCCACTGCCATTTCTGCACTGCGGAAGAGGCCGCAGAACGAAGAAAGCACCTGCAGTCGATCGCGAGGCGGCGAAGAAGGATGCGACGACTGGAGGCAGAACTGAACCAGGAAGAGCAGCGACAGCTTGTTACTGAGCCCGGAAGAATAGCAACGGGTGATGGAAGAAGCCGTGCGTCGCGGGATCCAGCAGATTTTGTGGTAAATGCAGGATATGCAATCCATGTACAGCCGTCGCTCCTTGCACAGGTGCCGCTGAACCCTGCTGGCGACATACCATGCTTACCCGTCCCGACAGCCTCACCGCCTTTTGCTTGGACCTCAAACACCAGCGCTTTCACCGAGAACTTCGACCACAGTCACCACAGTCAGGGCCATCAAGGTCCCAGAATACATGAGCACTGGCGGCCTTGGCACCCATTGCCGTCAGAAGCCCAGCTTGAGGATCTTGAAGTTCGGGAGAAGGAAAGGCCCGCCCCGGGGCCCCCCGGCCCAAACGTGGAAAAGCAATCTTTCTGGCTCTAGCTGGCTCTAGCGGGCCAAAGGCGCAGATGGCTCCGGTTGGAATTGCTCGAGGTCATGCGCATGTTTTCTGAAAGGGAGAGGAGCTCTTGATCTGAGTTTCACCTGATACTTTTATCAAAGCCAGACTTTGCTTGGCTTGGGGGTAGACACACTTGTCAGCTGGCGCTGCTGGCTCATGTCTGTACCGACAACCCTCATGGAAGACTGACCTGGGGGTGTGGGCCAAACATCGCCCCATGCTTGAGCCGAGAACCCACCGCCTTTTCTGCGGACAAAAACATCTTTGGCCGAAGTGCGCCCCTTGCGTGTGCAACTTGTCATCATCACCATGACCACCATATACACATAATATGCACATAAATAAATACATATCTGTATATACATATATCTATATCTATATCTATATCAATTCTATACCTATATCTATATCTATATCTTTTCATTTATGCTCTTATTAGACAGTCGACCTCCCACTACTAACACCCCCCCCCCTCCTTTCCGGGAGTTGATCTTTTACATTGCGAGCGGGACATTTATGTGCACCTGCCTCTGTGTGTGTATGTAAATAAGTTATATATACATATATATGTATACACACAGTACATACAACATGTACATGTACATATATCGTGTGTACATATATACAGTGTGTGTATATATATATATATAGAGAGAGTCTGTGGGGAGCGAGGATGGGCGCAAGCATCCTTCAGAAGCCTGCGACGATGGGAACGCCTGGGACGAGGTGCTAAGCGAGTCTGCACGGGTATCTCTCGCCAAGGGCTCAACCCAGCTTTGCTTAAAGCTGGGCACTCGGAGAGGATGGTTGCTCGTCCTCGTGTCAGCCAGAGCTCGGCTTCGAGTGCGTTGGTGGTGGCCTCTCCATGCCGTCGGGAGCCCGACAGCATGGTGCGAAACCTCTGAACCGAATCAGGTGTCATGAAGTATTTGTGGCCTGGCGTTGTGTGTGCCACAGTGAGCTTGCATCAGGTCTCTGTGCAGCCCGATTTGTGGTGATGGCTACGAGGCCTTGCGATCATTCATTGAGCAGAATCCGGCGATCGAACGCTGTTCTGCCTTAAGTCCAAAGGTCTTTGGCGAGGGCTGTGATGATGGCAACCAGAACCCTTGGGACGGTTGCGATCAGTTCTGCCAGGCCGGTGCTTGTCGGGCCCTGCTGGCATCCGTGGCCCCCCTCCGCTTTGTCCTCGCAGGTCGAGGATGGCTACCACTGCACCCGCGCACCCAAGCCGGGCCAAGCAGGCACAGCTGCCACACTCGTAAACGTTCAGCATTCGTAACATGCTATAGCAGCTGGTGTGCAGCAATCGTAGCAGTAGTCAATAGCGTCAGTCAGCGCTCAGCGTTCAGCGTTCAGCGTTCAGGCGTTCAGGCGTTCAGGCGTTCAGCGTTCAGCGTTCAGCGTTCAGCATCAGCGTCGCCGTCAGCGTCGCCGTCAGCGTCGCCGTCGTCGTCGTCGTCAGCGTCATCAGCGTCGTCGTCGTGCTGTAGGTGTACGCTGCGTGTACGATTGGATATTGACGCCACGTTTTTGTAAGGGTTGAGGTTTGAAAGCACTGGTGCTGCAGATTAGCTACGCGGGGGATGGGTTGGGAAAGGGGGCAGGATGCAACAACCAGTTCCAATAGGCAACGTAGGAAAAACCATCCTTTTTTTCCCAGTAAACAGAAAGCCTTGGATCGGAGCGGTCACGGAAAAGCAATCTTTCGCGAGAGAAAAATGGCCTCGTGGTAAAAAACCATCTGTATCTGAGCTGGAGTGCCCAACCCAATCCTGGAATGTAGGAAGTCCCTGGAATATCCCAAGTTGGCAAGGGAGCCCTCGGAAAAAGTCCGCGTAAGTCCACCAAAGTCTGCACAGACTATTGCAGAGAGCCCGGAGCCCCTCTGCGAGGCAGAGCATCCGTAGAGTACTTTCAGAGTCCTGGAGCTGAGACTGTTTCCAGAGTCCGTCTCCGCACGACACCCCGGAGCCTAATCCAGGAGTGCCCAACCTGCAGTGCCCCGAGTGCCCAAGGCCAAGAGTGTGAACAAAAATCCAGTGTATTTCTCTGGAGGGCCCAATCCCAGGTAAGTGTCCCTGAAGAGCCCAACCCCAGAGTGAGCTCGCCAATTCCTTGCCTGCAGGGTGGGGATGTTCGAAAACAAGCCTTTTTTCAGGAAGACAAAAACTCACAACCGAGCCAACTTTGTCTTTGGGTAAAAAGATTTGTAGATGCAGTCGACGGGGGAAAGTGCTGTGGAGGAGGAACAGTGCCTCAGCACGCAGACCCATCCTGCCAGAAGGAGGTCCAAAGCAGTCCAGTCACGGCCCGGCTTAAGTGTGTAGCACACTCGTGTGTATTCAAATAATATGAGTAGATGATTAGCTGACACATGGCTGGATTTCGTCGTCCCAAAACTGAGCAAGGTCAAGGCACAGAAGGCTTCTTCAAGGCTTTTCATGTCTTGGCAGTGCGGCCAGGGTAGGTTGCGAAACTTCATGCAAACTTTACATAACCCGGGCAAAAGCTTGGTATTATCTTTTCCTGATAAAGTCTGTGCACATACGGTTTTGCATGAAGACGGTTTTGGAACAGACGATCAAGTAGATGAGTAGATGAAGTTATGAATAGATGAATGTATGAATGTATGAACATGTGAATATATACGTTTATTCCCCACCCTCGGTGTGGGGTTGTTAGATTTTTAACTCAACTCTTCTCCTCGCCCGGAACTCTTCTCCTCGCCCGGTCTACTCCTCGCTCATTCCTGGAGTGCCCAACCCCGAATGTCCCTGGAGTGCCCAACCCCAGAGTCTCCCTGGAGTGCCCAACCCCAGAGTGTTCCTGGAATGCCCAACCCCAGTCTCCCTGGAGTGCCCAACCCCAGAGTGTCCCCGAGCCCAACCAGAGTGTCCGTCTCCCTGGTGCCCAACCCCGTGCGGAGTGCCCAGCCCCAGAGTGTCCCTGGAGTGCCCAACCCTAGAGTATCGCTACCAAGAAAGGGTGGGAATGTTCGAAGTAAAATAGTGAGTCTATTTAAATATGAATGTATCAGTATACTCGATGCAAGAAAAGATATAGACAGGCAACCACATTAACTATATATACAAAAAAAGAAAGGTTCTCGTGATTAGGAAGGGAAGACAGGTGCCTCCTCCGCGTGTTTGCCCACCTGTGGCGATGGTTTGCTGAACGGCGCAGAGGAGTGGCTGAACTTCCATCGTAATCTCCAGCATGGTCTTTCACATGTGCAGCTGCAGTCGAACCAGATGCACTTTTGATAGGAGTGTGACGAGAGCTACACCCCGCCTCCAGGCAAGTCTTCCATCTTCCAAGGTAGTTAGAGCGTCAGCAGAGCCGTCCGGATGATGACCGAGGCAACACCACCGAGCCACAGTCTGTGCTCCAACCTCGATGGGCCATTGTGCAGCTGTCAGGCTCTAGTGCATAGAGTCTCAAATGACAGTTTTGTCCAGGCCTTGCTCGAAATGCCGGCTCATGCCTGAGGATGCCTGCCGCCCAGAATCTTTCAACAATTTCAGACGGCAGGGCCTGTTCAGCCGAAGTGGATACACGGCAAGCCTTACTTCGCTTCGGTGCTTGGTGCGAGATTCTTGTGACTTCCGACAGGTTTGTGGCGACTTCCGCCGCGGACCAGCTGAGCAGTGCAGCTGCCCAAGTCGAAAATGCCAGGGGCAAACCGTTTAATCCTAATCAAGAATTTCTTTCTAAGGCTCTCCACATATCATAGCATCCCAGGTTATACGTTACCATATCAGACTAGATCGCGTTATAGCAGTGTCGGTTCATGTCTTGGTCTAGACTGTAGCAAAAGCTGTCAAGCCAATTGTCGATATCGCTTTCGCTATCGTTGTCTTGGTCATCAGCAGAGACACAGCATCATATGACACGTTTTGTCAAATCTCACCTTTTCATCTCGTCGTCGTCGTCGTCGTCGTCGTCGTCGTCGTCGTCGTCGTCGTCGTCATCGCCAACACGGCATAATCATCAGCATCGTCGCCATCACCATTATCATCGCCATCATCGTTTGAGTATCATCATCAACTATCACCCTCCTCCTCATTTTCATCATCATCATCACCAGCACCAGCGACAGGACAAACATCATGAACAGCGTCATCACCGGTATCGCTACCAGCATCATCACCATCACCATCACCTGCATCATCATCAGCATCACCAGCATCACTAGCATCACCAGCATCACCACCATCACCACCATCACCACCATCACCACCATCACCATCCTCACCATCATGGGTATCACCATCACCAGGACCATCACCACTCGCCATCGCCACCATCGCCACCATCGCCACCATCGCCACCATCGCCACCATCGCCACCATCGCCACCATCATCACCATCATCACCATCGTCACCAGGGGTACAGCACTTCTGTCAGCCGGATCAGAGTGGGAGAAAGGAGAAGGCCAATCAACTGTCTGACAAGCTCAGGCGACGACGGCAACAACGTGAGCGGAGACGGCTGCAGCGAATCCTGTGTTGTGGAGACAGGCGCGCACTGTCAGTTCCAGATCTAAGCATCTTTCGGTTCAGTGTTGGTGTAGGCCCGATTTCGGAAGTTTTTTTTGGGGCCGAAACGGTTGGGGGTTGCGGTTCGGGGGGAATTGAAACGTCACTATGGTCGGACAGCTGCTGTGCCAAAGTGGCATATGGCTTAGTGCACAATGCATCAGCAGTTTGTCTTCTCCCCTTTTTGCATTGGCTCGACTTTTCCCACCTCTTCGCCAGTTTGAACATGTTTAACTTGAGAACTCCAATCTTTTCGATCCCAAGCTGCCGCCAACCTGGTCAGGTTGGAGCTGTTCACAAGGTCCCAGCCACCTGCCACCCGGAGTGGCTCCAGGCACAGATCCCTCAGAGCGTTTGGACATTCTTAACTAAGATCCCCGATTCTGAGTTTCTTGGGGGCGCTTGTGCGCCTCCATTGCTGCTTGTCTTCTTCACGAGCTTCGCTGCTGGTGTCATGCCTGCGTACAGGTGATGCTTGCAGAGCCATCTGCGGTGATGGTATCGTAGTGTCTACTGAGGCTCCCGTGTTCACTCTCGGCACTGTGTTGTGCTTGCCGCCCTGGTACAGCTGTCACACCAGGCCTGTGATGACGGAAACCTTCGGGGGGACGATGGCTGCACTGGGGACTGTCGCGCCAACACCTCATATTTCTCCCGGACCAAGTTGGGGTCACTGTTGGCCATCACCAACCCATAGCAGCCCCATGTCCTTGGGCAAGACACACCATGTGGGGCAGCTTGACCGAGGTCGAGTCGTTCTTCGAGTGCTTTCTGCCAGGTGCAGCTGAGCTGCTGGAGGCACCTCGAACATTCATCTTGATCATCCTCCTGCAGACACCTGCAAGACCCGTGATCCGGCCAAGCACATCCCTTAGTCATTTAAGAAATTTTCAAGAAACAAGAGCCTTGACTCGGCTCGTTACTCTGCGATCTCTGAAGGTGCCCGCATCAGTGCTCCCCACCCGCGGGCCCAGCGCCTCCGTTTGTGCTGGCGGCTTATCTTTGGGGCCCTTGGGGTGTGCACAGTTGGGGTTTTACGACTCAGAATCCGAAATCCCTGAGTTGCCCAGAGTGGAACGAAACATACTCCTCACCCCACATCAGCCAGCGTACCTCTCCAAGCCACAGCTGTCTGAGGTCAGCACAAAGCCGCCCAGACTGGTGGGGGCACACTTTGACGAAGCCTTCGTGTCGCTGGAGCTCAACTTCGACAGCAACGTCGTGGCTTGGCAAAAGGGTTTTGGGATGTTTTGGGTGACGTTGACAAGTTGAGGTCCCAGCAGGATCGTTTCTGTTCGTTGAGTTTTGCCAACAGCCTTCCAAATTGGGGTTGATCTGAATTGTAGTCCGGCTTTTGGTCTTCTCTACAGTGTCTTGTAAACGGGCGCATGGTTCTAAATTCGATCAAACCCCCCAAATGTCCCTCTGAACCCGAGCTGCGCCACAGGCTCCGCTGCTTGGCGAGGCTCGTGGGATCCTGCAAACTTGGGCGAGTCGCCCAGATTGGGAAGCCTCTGCCCTTTGAGAACGTTGAGGGGCTCATGGTGTTAGGGGTTCAAAGGCTGGGCTTCTGCTCATCCTTAAGAACTCTCTGCTCAACCCAAAGATTGAACGCTCTTCCTTCGAGCCTTTCAGTGCGAGGAGCATGCTGGCGGTGTGGCTACAGCTGTTCCAGCTTTTCCATGCGAGGCATCGCAGCCTCGTGGGTCACATCTTGATCCGAAAAAGGGCAGCGCCTTCTGATCGTCGCCCGATTCCTGTTGCTTCCGCACTTCCGGCAGGTCCTGCTGGATCCCCTGACCATGGTGCTCAGCTCCCAGCTTCACTGAACGTTGGTACCAGCGCCGAAAGAGCTGAAATCTGGGGAATGTAGAGGGGTGAACAATAACCACATGACAAGTAGCACCATGTGCCACTCATGCAGCTGCAGAAGCTACGGTGTGACGCCTAGCCATGACATGACGTTCTTCTCGTGGCCTGCGCGCACGCAAGGCTTCTTGGGCAGGAGCCCAGCTGCTGGTGGAAGTCCCGGCAATCTGCGGCTGTGGCCATGGGCGGCAGCCTAGGCCAATGCAACGTGCAACCCAATGTCCAGATCCAGGTTTGTGCTGATTGCTTGCGCTTAGTACATCTGTCCCAGTGCCAGGCATCCTTCCCGGCAGTGCAGTGTTACTCAAGGCGAGTCTTTCTTACCATGGCTCTTGACACCCCTAGCCACTATTGCTTCTCTTGCTTCTGCTCCGAACAAATGTGAGATTCGCTCAGAGGCGGGTGTGCTACGGCGCTACACCTTCGCAAAGGAAGTCGCGCCAGCGCAGGATTGGCATCTCGTGCGTGGGGGCAGCTGACAACATCTGACAACCAGTTCTTGTGTTACCGTGTCACTGAGCTCCTTGAGCTCTCATGGTCAGGAGGTGAAGGCAGACGTGCCTGGAGGATTCATCGCTCCAGTCCTGTGGCCAAGGCCCACTTCTTGCTCACGGGAAGGACCTACCTGCAAAGTGGAAAACTAACCCTTGTAGGTTGCCGCAAGGCAAACCACTGCAGGGAAACGTTCAGGAGGATCCCCCTGTGACTCCCTTTGAAGGCCGACCATCACTGGACCACAGATGGCTGCCCTCTCAGTTAACTTGCATTGGGGTCCGAGCTGGAGCTTGTACGCCTCTGTGTGGAGACATGAGCCACCTCAAGGGATCACTCTCCAGAATCTTCCGCGCCCGAGTCTCCCTGATGCTCAACCTCCCTCTTCAACATCATTGTCTGTCGAATGTCGAATCTCGAACATGTGAACTGGCAGGCTCCGGCATGTGCTGACGTCACAGTCCTTAGCTCCGAGTACAGCCAGGGCTTTGCCGGGCGCATGGCCATGCCTCCCCGTGAGAGCCCTGGAAGACGTAGAGGAGTTGGGCCCAACATGTGGGGGGAGGGAGGGGGGGCCGGGGCTGGGGGTTCGTGACTACTTAGTACATACACGATAAAAGACTGAATACATATATATATAATATGTAATATGTATATATGTATATATGTATATATGTATATATGTATATATGTATATATGTATATATGTACATATATGTATATATGTATGTCGTCTGTATATTACATAATATTCGCGCAAGAACCCCCAGAAGTCCCAGGCTGGGCTGTGGTAGCGGCCTTCAACACCTCGGCCGCTTCCTGGGACAATGCGGAAGTCCAGCGAATCCAAAGAGGAATGGAGATGCAATTCCAGGACTCCGAGGCGGGAAATGCATCCACTGTATATATGTACATACATACATATACACATATGTATATGCATGCATATATATATATATATATATCTACATGTGTATGTATGTATGTATGTATGTATGTATGTATGTATGTATGTATGTATGTATGTATGTATGTATGTATGTATGTATGTATGTATGTATGTATGTATATATATATATATATATATGTGCATGTCCATGTATATGTGCATATAAACCGCCACCGTTGAAACCGCACCATATTTTCATTGAAAGTTAATGCCCTGTTTGACTGATTACACGTCCGAGTTTTGACAAACGGCAACGTATATTCTGCCCTGATTCTGAGTTTGTATCTATGGCGTTACACAACCATCTGTTGGACAACTTGGGTAGCTTCTGTTGGCTGAGATTCTCCTGTAGTTCGTTCTTGCCATCCACTGATTGGTGTGCCCTTGATGGCAAGGTGTATCTGCCTCGACAGGGGGTTCTCTTGAGCCATCAGCTGAGCTGTCCTTCGAATCGAATTCGAGCTTGGAGTGAAGTCGGAAGGTGTCGCTAGGAGACATTGCGAGACTCCGACGTCCTACTAGAAATTTAGAGGCAAGATCCGGGTTTCGTCTCATAGGTCTCCTGGACCTGGAATACGATCGCAGTATCCGGGCCTGGAGCTCGGGCAGCAGACAAGCGCTGATTTCAAGACACTCCGGCTCAGGGCAGTTTCTTTAGTGTCGAAGGCAACCTAGAGCGGCCTTGCGAAGCAAGGGACAGAGACCAACATGTTTCTGTTTCCCGTGGAATCTTAAGCAGTGCTCGCGCAGCATCCCGACCCCAAATGTGCCTTGCGTTTTAAGCCATTTTTTGTGCTGTGCAGGTTGGGTTTATATACCGCGTCTGTCTGCGGCAGCAGAACATGTTGGACCTCGTGGGCATCGGCTGCCATAATCTGGAGGTGCCCACAGATTGCGCATTGATGCGAGTTTAGCACCTTTACTCTTGGCCGCCCGCAGATTGTTGATCTGCCCATCCCCAATGTGGTGACTGCCGTTTCTGGGCTGCAAGGCCTCAAAGATGGGCTCAGGACATGTCTTCTCGAAACGGATGCATCGCGACATAGTACCGTCGGATGAGGGGCGTTCTCAACGCTAAAGGCCTACAGGTACACCGAGCAGCCTGCAATCCTAGGTGCCGCAGCATCCGATGACACTTGCGGATGGGCGTTGGCCCGTGTCCAAGATCCCGGTAGGGTCTCAGAGTTCCAGGTCAGGGGTTGTTCCGAATTCATCTGAGTTGGGTTGCTGTGTAGATACCGCTTAGAGCAGGATTCAGTGGCAGAAGAACCCCCCACTCCCATGCGGTGGTCGACATGGAGCGGCCACGCTCTAAGGCTGCAGTTGGAGGTGAAAGCGGAGCTCCCGCAGGCAGAGGGGCAACCGAATCACTTTCGAACCCCTTTCCCAGCGTGCATATTGAGTCACCCTAAACCCTAAACCCTAAACCCTAGACCCTAGACCCTAAACCCTAAACCCTAAACCCTAAACCCTAAACCCTATAACCCTAAACCCTAAACCCTTCTAAACCCACATTGAGATATGTCGAGTCATTGAGCCCTTGAGTCCGGGTGCCAGGGATGCGTCCTGGGCGATCCGCCCAAACCCACCACGCTTCTGGCAGCCTCGGCACCTCGGCACTAATCTGCGGGGTTTAGGGTTTAGGGTTTAGGGTTTAGGGTTTAGGGTTTAGGGTTTAGGGTTTAGGGCTCATACCCTGAAGGCCCCAATTACCTTCTGATCCTGTACTTCGTGGTGCTTTACTGTAACTTTAGATGCTTAGCCTTTTTGGGTTTATTGGGTTTCTTAATTTTAAGGGGCTGCGCCCATGGGCGGGCAGCGCACGCAGAAGCCCGGGGCGAGCAGTTTCTAAGCATGTTGAGGCCCCTAAACTCCCTTAAAATCTCTAAGCGTTAAGTTTCTAAGCATTTTCAGGCCCCCAAACTCCCTTCAAATCTCTAAGCGTTTGAGGCTCCTAGACTCCCTTAACGTTTCTAAGCACTTTATAAGGCCCCTAAACTCCCTTTTTCCTAGCCCCGGGCTTAGACACGTCGCTTATGCCCGCCCTTTGGGGGGCATCATGCTCCTGATGCGCCCCCGGGGTCCCGCCCCGGGAGCCGCTGATGCTCCTGATGCGCGCCTGGGGGTCCCGGGCTGGACCCGCTGATGCTCATGATGCGCGCCCTCTGGGGGCCTCCGTGGCGACGCAAAAAACCACGAAAAAAAAACCGTTCACCGGCGGCACGCGGGGGTCGGCGGCACTGGCGTCCGGCCTAATTCTGCTTCGCAGAAGGCCAGAGGCCAGCAAGGCTATTCCCGGGACGACCCGGGCTAAAAGGTCCGCATTTGCTCGGTCCTTTGGGGACCTCGCGCTGCCCGATTTAATGGCTGCCGCCAGTGCCGCCGACCCCTGGAAAGAAGGACGTGCAGGATGTCGCCAGGTCGCCTCATCGCGTCCCACAGGTCACTGCGCATGTGGAGCTGAAATCAGGACCCCATATCGCAAATCTGCGACTACACTAGGCAAGCCCTGGGTTCCAGCTCGGGCTTCTAGCACTGGTCGACTCGATCGTGCATGCACAGCATTGTCTAACCCTTCTTGATAAGAAGGCAAAGGTTGCCACTTATTCGGATGCCCGTGGGCCTTGGCTCGGGCTTTCTTGCACAGGTCGATAGCGATCGTGCATTTTTTTTTGTATGGAAAGGCTTATTTCTAGAAAGGCCAGCATTGAGGACGAGGCCACGCAATGCTCCTTGGGTAAACACGACATGGCAAATGCCGTCCGCCTCAGGTTTCCCAGATTCTGCCATTGGGATCATCATTCTGCGCAGCATTTGCCGGCCTGGTCTCTTTGCAGACTGGCAACAAGCTTGTGCAACAGCCTGCAGTTCGAGGATATGTGCAACTACGACCAGCTAATGTGAGTAATTGCTCAGTCGCCCAGATTTGGATGTAAGAGTCCTTGTCGGCAGCACCTGCCGACAAGTCTACGTCAGCCCTTTGGTCAAGCCGCGGTGCCGGAGCAGCTGCTCGAAACCGGCCCGGGGTTGGAAGTTTGGGGTACGGAGGGGTTAATTAAGGCTCCGGGGGGTCAGGGGTTTAGGGTTGAGGTGTTTATGGGTGTATCGAACACCCAAGATGCCCCAACGTTTAAACCCTAGCACCCAAACTCCAAACCCTGATCACAACCCAGGTTTTAGGGATTGGGGTTTAAGGCCATGGGCAGCCATCGCGCGCCGGTCCGAGGGTGACTCGCTGTGGGGGCTGGCAGTGGGGAGTCCAGGTCAGCTTCGGCCTGGCCCGAAACCTAGTTGCCCTGGGTGATGCTTTTGTTTCGCATGACGTCTGTGTTTGCCGGACTTGGGGTCGGCGAAGTCCTCGGACTTCTGCCTGGCCCCGAGGCTGGCAAGCCCTGTGAGAGTTTTGCAGGACTTGGGGTCGGCGAAGTCCTCGGACTTCTGCCTGGCCCTGAGGCTGGCAAGTCATTGGGTTTTGCCGGACTTGGGGTCGGCGAAGTCTTCGTACTTCTGCCTGGCCCCGAGGCTGGCAAGCCTTTGTGTTTTGCCGGACTTGGGGTCGGCGAAGTCTTCGGACTTCTGCCTGGCCCCGAGGCTGGCAGACTTTGCTTGTGCTTTGCGGGACTTGGTCGGCGGGGTCTCCGGACCTCTGTCTGGCCCCCAGGCCGGCAAAGTTTGTCTTTGCTTATTGTTTGGCATGCCACGACACGCACGCAGCCTGGAGGCAGGGAGCTAGGCAGGGAGCTTCCGGCGACAGGGTACTTGAAGTTGCACCCAGAACCCTAAACTCCAAACCCACTCTAAACCCTAAGGCCTAAACCCTAAACCCCACTCTAAACCCTAAACCTTAAACCCTAAACCCTAAACCCTAAAGCCTAAAGCCTAAAGCCTAAAGCCTAAACCCTGAATCCTAGACCCTAAACTCTAAATTCTAAACTCTGAACCCTAAACCATAAACCCTAGACTCTGTACCCTAAACTCCAAACCCGAAACCCTAAAACCCTCAACTTTCCCCCGCACTTGTGCCGCGCCCTCCCCTCCCAACACGCGGGGGAGCACAGCTTAACAGCTTGTCAGGCCCAAAAAGTCGCAGAATTGTACTCGCCCGCGCTTGTGCCCTCCCTCGTTCTCCCGAGAGCCAGGCGAGAACAGTTTCAGTGCATTTCAGGCTTGAAAAATTGCACTTCCCCCCCTCCCCGCCCCGCCAAAACGGGGCAGAGTACTCTCAGACCGGAAATGTCCCAGAAGTGTGCTCCCCCGCGCTTCTGCTGTTTTAGACACACTACAAACTCCGTCAACTCAGTTTGCAAACCCTAGCAACATACCGACAAGCTCGCCCATCCTTCTAAGGGGGAGTCGAGCTCGGAGACTCCGCGCGCTCGGCGGGGGGGCGGTGGGCGGTGTGGGCGGTGGGGGCGGTGGGGGCGGGCATGCGCTGGAGCCCCTTAAAAACATCTGAAAGAAGGTAGCCAGTGGCCGTGAAACGTGGCAGGGGGAGGGGGGTTGCTGGGGCCCTGAAACGTGGCAGGGAAGGCCCTCCAAGGTGGTGGGGGGCAGGGGGGGGGGGTGGAAACGCAGGTGTGGCGCGGTGGGCGGTGTGTGGTGGGGCGGTGGGGGCGGTGGGGGCGGTGGGGGCGGGCATGCGCTGGAGCCCCTTGAAAACATCTGAAAGAAGGTAGCCAGTGGCGTGAAACGTGGCAGGGGGAGGTGGGGGCGGAATGGGCTCGCTGGGGCCCTGAAACGTGGCAGGGAAGGCCCTCAAACGTGGCGGGGAAGGGTGGTCGGTGGGCTGGAGCCCCTTGAACTCAAAGAAGGCAGCCAGTGGCCCTGAAACGTGGCAGGGGGAGGTGGGGTGGGGGCGGTGGGGGCGATGGGGGCGGTGGGGGCGGGCATGCGCTGGAGCCCCTTAAAAACATCTCAAAGAAGGTAGCCAGTGGCCCTGAACGTGGCAGGTAGAGGTGGGGGCGGAATGGACTTGCTGGGGCCCTGAAACGTGGCAGGGGAAGGCACTCAAACGTGGCGGGGGGGGGGGGGGGGGGGGGGGGGGGGGGGGGGGGGGGGGGGGGGGGGGGGGGGGGCATGCGCTGGAACCCCTTAAAAACATCTCAAAGAAGGTAGCCAGTGGCCCTGAGGAGGTGGGGGCGGAATGGGCTCGCTGGGGAAACGTGGCAGGGGAAGGCCCTCAAACGTGGCGGGGAAGGGTGGTCGGTGGGCGGTGTGGGCGGTGGGGGCGGTGGGGGCGATGGGGGCGGTGGGGGCGGGCATGCGCTGGAGCCCCTTAAAAACATCTCAAAGAAGGTAGCCAGTGGCCCTGAAACGTGGCAGGGGGAGGTGGGGGCGGAATGGACTTGCTGGGGCCCTGAAACGTGGCAGGGGAAGGCACTCAAACGTGGCGGGGGGGGGGGGGGGGGGCGGTGGGCGGTGTGGGTGGTGGGGGCGGTGGGGGGGAGGGGGGGCCCTGAAGCGAGGCCCTCGTGGGGGGAAGGGGGGCGGTGGGTGTGGGCGGTGGGGGCGGTGGGGGCGGTGGGGGCGGGCATCCGCCCCAGTGGCCCTGAAATGTGGCAGCGGGAGGTGGGGGCTGAGGAATGGGCTCGCTGGGGCCCTGAAAGGTCCCCCTCAAACGTGGCGGGCTCGCTGGGGGGTCGCTTAGGGGGGGACGGGGGGGCCCTGAAACGAGGCCTGGTGGGGGAAGGGGAACTGGGACAAGTACCGGGACCGAAGAAGGAGTGGGGATACGTGAACTATGAGACAATATCGATTTCATGAACAAACAGGACTGGGACAAGTATCGGGGGCGAACCGGAGTGGGATACGTGAGCTCTGAGAGCATCGCTTACACGGACAGACGAAGGCTTCACGGGCGCCAACCCCTTAGGGGGGTCGGCGGATAAACAAGATGCAGAGCAAAGCCAAGCCACTCAGGCTCAGACCCATTTTCAGACCCCTTTATGAAGATTTGGTGCCCCTCGTTTCCGCTGTTTCTTGACATGTTTTGGCAGCCCTATGAATGTTTTTTGGTTCAATTGTTACATCATTTGAAATCTTCTGGCTTTATTTATCCATTTTGGATGCCTTAAATATGCCTTCATTATTCTCCTTTTTGTCTGTTTTTTTTCTGATATTTTCCCGAGGGTTAAATGGAACAGCGAACAGAAGAGGCGAACGGACGTGTAGACTTCGACTTGAGAGTCCGGCTGTCGAGAATCTGCTCTACCACCGTGTACCACGTGATAGCACGGTGATGAATGTAAGGAGCGTGCCGGCCGCTGGTCGCTCTGCTTGGCACTGCTGGCGGACATGCATCGGGGAGGCACCGGCTGCATTCCCTGCCTTTTGTGCGCGTGTGGCACTGTGACTGCCGTGAGGCCTGCAGCCGGACACAGTGTCTCAGCTCAAGCAGGGCAGAGTTTACATAATATGAATAAAGCGTATTAAAACTAGTATATTTAAAGGGGGAACAGAATGACATTACATTTTAATTGAGGTTTTCGTTCCCCCGTGAATAATAATAATGGAATGAGGAAAGGGAACAAGAACCCCACTCTGTGTCACTCATGATCCACCATTAAGTTACTAAATGTACTAGAAAGTTGTGTTCACCTGTCATGAAGTGTTCCCTTTCACCCTTATTATAATTCATGTGTATTCCTAAGGAAATAGTACTATAAGATAATAAATAATAAATCCTGCATTTGTGCTTATTCTATTCTCTTCACGAATGAGGAAGAAGTAGTAACAACAATTATAAACTTATGAGCGCAGTGAGTGCATTAATATAGTTTTCTTGCCTTTTTAACCGTATTTTCCCGGATGATAATAAGGTAATGATTGAATGAGGAAATTTAATAAGGAATATGAAGAGAACATATAAGCAGATGTAGGCTGCTCCACCTACACGCTGAGTCAAAGGTCTCCATGAACACTGTGTTGAGCAGCTTCGCACGTGGTGACGAATGGCAGAGAGCTACAACCTCAGCTTGCCCAGAATGAGTGAGCGCGTCAAGGCATTAAGTACTATGTCCTTGGGAAAATCTTCAGTTTCTGTCGCGCCTCTCAGTTCCGGCGAGCATTTTTGGCTCTGCTCAATAGACTGAAGCTCCATCAGGAATACCCATGTCCATGCATGAGAGACGTTTGATCCTTGACGTCTCCAATCGCCCAACAAGTCAAGAAGTCTTCAACTGAGTGTGTGGGTTTCGAGTGCCCATAGCAGCCAGTTAAACTGTACCCCAACCGACTTGAGCTTCAATACGTGGCGGCTGATTGATGATCAGCGCGTTCCATGGATCCTGCAGGAATGGCTGCTGCGTGGTGAGACAAAGGGGGCGGGGGTGGGGTAACGTGGAACTGGGGAACTGTTTGGAACCGTTTCACACAATGTTTCGCAATGTTTCGAAGCACTTGGACCACATTCGGCTCATGAGAGATTAAAAGTGAGGCTTTCTTGTCAGTCAAAGTTATGCTGGCGCTGGCATTCTGGATCCTGATGAGCGCCGGGGACCCAAGACTCTTCAGGACTGTTCGCTGGAGATCGTGAGACTCATCTGATGCATGGAGCGACACTGAAAGGCCCTCTGTGAATCTTTTGCAGAGACTAAGGCGACCATGATTATCTTCAATGCTGCGCTTCTGATGCCTGCCTGCAAGCTTGTTTGGCAGAGAGAGACCTAGGGTTTCAGATCAGGTTTCTGCGGTTTAGAGAAAATAGTTACAAGCTGTTAGAAAATACTTTTTCCAACGTGCCGAGGTGCAAGACAACCTTCGGGTCCTAAGGGTCGTACTGTCGCTGAATATGCTCACCTGCTGATTTTGCAGGCAAGGATTTAGACATCCTGTGTGGCTGACATTCTGGCATCAATCCGTTCCTCGGCTTGAGGTCACATGTTGTAAGGGCTGCAAGATGCTGCAAGCAACCTGTCTACCACGGCATGTGTGACCACAGCAGGCCAGCACAGTTCTCATCCTCGTGCTGAAGCTGGTGCTGCCCGACCTGGTTGCCACAGGCGATGCCAAGGACATTGCGCAATTGCCTCCCAAGCCCATCCCTCAAAATCCCTCAAACAACAAATCCAACCAGGAGGGGCGGCCACCCTTGTCGCTCAAAGAGGCGGTAAAGCTCGGCTTCCCGGTGGCGGCTGCACAGTGCCCTGGTTGAATCCATGCGAATCCCACTTCTGCCTTGACTGAACCCTCCTTGAGTCCCTTTGAGTGGCTGTCTGTGCAGGTGCGTGGGCCTCATTGCAGGAAACACGGCCCCCTGTGTGCAAGAAGCGAAGCAAGCGAGCTAGAGTAGGGGTTTGGGAGGTCATGTGATTCTGTGGCAAAAAGGTGCCCACAGCGAGGAGGGCAGATGAGGGCAGCTAAGGCAGTGATGTATCTCTCTGTGTCCTTTTGCCAGATGATCAAAGCTTGGACTCCAGCGTCCCTTGGCAAAGTCGGACACAGATGTGTTATGTTAAAGGCGACGGGCAGCTTGGAGAGTGTTCATCAGCTATCTGCTGCCCGCCGCCGCGCCGCTGCTGCCCGCTCTGCTGCCCGCCCGCTCTCGGCTGCCCGCCGCTCTCTGCTGCCGCCGTAGCACTGCTGCCCGCCGCTGCTGCCCGCCGCGACGCTGCCCGCTGCTGCCCCTCGCTGTCGCTCCCCGCTGTTGTTCCATTGGGTGCTCAGATCTCAGGATGGTGTACGCAGTGGGGTGTGTGGCCTGCGACCTAAAACCGAGAGAAGATTGTTTTTGCAGACAGGCGCAGGTCGCAGGTGTAGAGGCAGCAGCAAACAAAGCATTGTCAACTTGAATGAGCATTCAGCTGCTAACCTGCCCAGTTGCTTTCCAAGGTGGGTACTCAGAAGTTTACTTTCCCAGTTGCCAAGACGATCGCGACCATCACTGCTGGTGGCCAGCTTACATTGTCCATTTGGCTCTGTTCTTTGCCATTAACGGTGCAACTTAGTGGGACGAAGCAGGCCTCATGATCACAAGCATTGGCGAGATCAGATTCGACTGGCATCCCGACTTGTTTTGGATCACGGACATTTGTAAGGCAAAGTCAGTATTTCTGTCGAGACAATGGTCAAGACACAGCATCAAGGGTCAACTTCAATTTAAAGCCGTTCTTCGATTTGGCAGGGAGTTCATGCCAGCAGCCAATACACGTCTAATGTATTCCTTTGTGTCAGACCTAAATCGAACCGTCGGCCGCCCAGTTGTTATCACGGCAGGTATGGATTCCTGATGCAGTGCACTGCACTTCTTTCTGAAGGCCTTCGAATAAATTTGCTTGTGCCTTAACCTGCCTCAGACAGGATGCTGTGCGGGGGGGGGGGGTGTCCGTAAGGGCGCGAAGCTGAGGCTTGAGATTCTTCTGAAGTCGCCACTCAGCCTTTGTTGGACTTGTGTTTTCACGTGCTCTGTTCTCAGGGCCTGTGTGCACCGAAGCCTGCATCGCCGTGAACAGGGAGACAAGACCTAGTAAAGTCGCTGTACCACGGTGCAGGTCAGTCGCGCGATAGAGTTCACAACATGAAGCGACTATGCATGCCGCCGCAATGTAGGGGTTCACGGGTAGTTCCATACTTCTTTTGAGCTCTGTGCGGCCAGTGGGCAGCAATGGCACATCTGTTGGCTGGGCTTTTCTGCGGAAAAAGCACCTTAACTCCCCCTCGGAAGTTGCCAGTGGACAGGCCTGCAGAGCCTACTCCAGAGACTCCAAACCCTGAGTTTCCTGCATCTGACGAGCCGGCCAGTCCCTCATCACAGAAGATGGCGACTGGCACAGCAACTGGGCGCAGAGTGAGCAGAGCTGGGAGCTCGTCGAGATCTCTCTTGAGTCCATTGTGCTCTCCGGTTTGCTCCTTGAAGGTGGATGATCATGAGATGCAAGGCTCACACAATCGAGCACAGACCCCGAGTCCATGTCAATCGAACGAAGTTGTGGCCTTCTATACTGTTTTTCACAAGAAGCACGGGGCAGAGAGAGGAGGTCACTCAGCACCGGTGGCTGAGCATAAGCACACAGCGTGCTCTGCGTTTTGTTTATAATGCCGGCTTTGGGGAGTTCGGCTGCTTTCTCGTTAGAGCAATTATGAGGCCCAGTTTTCAGTCTTGACTCAAGCTTAATGTGGCAGGTTGCAGATCTTGATGGATCCTTGTTCCTTCCTTGCATTGCATGGCGCTATGTCAGCATGCTTGTTGATGGGAGGGAACATTCGTGCTGTCGCAGAGCTTTGCAGAATGATTCTCCCTCTGGAGTCTGGGAGTGCAAGTGCAGGTCCCGGTTCCAGTCAAGCAGCTTGCGGCAGTTGCAGTGCACTGCGGGGGAGAGTGGTGACAAGTGCTATGAAGCATCATTGGCACGGTGGCTGCTGCTGATAATTCTCGTGTCTCGGCAATGCCGATACCTAGCGAAGTGGCAGCTGGCCTTTCGCTCTGTTCTTGTAGAGCACAGTTATCTGCATGTCGGCTCACCGTGGGGCATTACAGATACCAGTAGTTGGATTGGTGGCAGCACAAGTCCTCACGGCAAATGCGTTCCTTGAGCTCCCATGCACAGGGCTACAACCTAAAAGCTGATGTGCTGTGATATGCTGTGCTCGCCGTTCTCGCATTTGGGGAGGAAGTAGGCTGTCAGCCGATTTGAAGGTTGGGGATCAAGTGAACATGAGTATGACTCTATGACTTTGAGGTTGACAGCGGCTCACCTCCTGCAGCATCAAATGCAGAATTCAGGTCATTAGAGGCTCGGGCCCTAAGACAACAGGAGAGCTCTAGCAGGGTGAGAGGCAATGTGTTCGTGTTGCCAGGGTAGTTGCTGCCGTTGGTGATGCCACAATGTGCCACCGATCACGGCAGAGGCCTGCGCTTAAAGCACAGTCGTTGACTGGCCCCTCGCCATGGAGCCTTCCTAGACACATCACAGCTTTTGCTTCCAGATGATGGAAACACACAGATTAAAGAAAACTGCTGCCCTCGATGACATAGGAGTGTACAGCCCGTGCAGCACCCGGTGACAGAAACGTGAGAGATGTTCGGAGACGGCCAAAGGTTGGAACAGTGCTGGCTTTGCCGCCCCTTATTCACTGTCGTACTCATGGTGATAAGCAATCTGCTTCCCCGACAGCTCGACCACCATGCTTCAATCCAAGGGCGGGCTACAAGCTGAACCCTCTCAGCTCGATCTTGATCTTCGCACCGATAGCCTCGGTGATTCTCTTGCCACTCTTGCCGATTGAGGGGGCTGTTCATTGTTCTAGCAGGAAACTGTATCGTGAATTCCCACATTACATGGACCCCTCAAAGCCACCCTAAATAGCAGGCCCTGGGTTTCCCTTCGTTGACTCCAGCGTCAAGAGTACCTCAGTACCAGGTGAGAGCAATTGAAACACGACCGTACCAGTCAAGCATCTGGATGAGGTCTGCAGACTTTGATGCCGTGCAGCGTAGTTGCCATGTCTGCGTTCAAAGCCCATGACCAGACCAGTCCAACTCAAACGAAGCCCCGAGAATTCACGGAGGCTTTAGTTTTGGGCTTGAGACTCCCATCAGATGTGTTCGGGCTTTGCGTGTTTTGCGAGCAAGGCTCATCGGGGTTGCGACAGCTCCTTGGTAGCAAGCATGACACATCCGGCAGTATCCGGCCATAGGGAAGTGGCGCTCGCCTGTCGAACCGAAGCATCGTCGCTTTTTTCTGACTGCGGGAACCGGGACAGTGCCGGGTTGTACCAGGACATGGATGGAATCTCAATGGAGGTGGCTCAGTTCAATCCATAGCTCAAAGCTGTTGCTCGCTCGATTGGTCGTTTTCAGATCGTCGATATTTGAGTTATTTCTTACCACGGGCTACATCTGTTTGCCGTCGATAGGTGATGCACAACCTGGGAGAGTTGGTCCTTCTGGCAAACGCCCTTGTCGTATGCGTCTTAGTTTTGGGCAGCTTTGCAGCTTTGGCATGTCTGAACTGTGCTGCTGCGGTCAGAAGAAGGGGTTTCAGGCTTTCCTCCTGAACATCGCGATTTACATCGCCATACAGTTGGCCTCCGGGTTGATCTACGCACTGGCCGGAGTCGTGAAGGCCAGAACAGCTTGGCTAAATACCTCGTAGCGTAAGTTTGATGGACCTTGCCGGTCCGTCATTGGTTTCGTTTTGTCAAGAACTGCAGGACATCTCCATTATCATGGGCTCTGTGTCGAGCTCAGCTGCACCTTCTATGTGTGATGTCCGTCGGACACTCTTTGGTTGTCGTTCTTCATGTGTTTTGTTGTTCGAACTAAGGTTCCAGAAGCTTGATCTGCCTGTCTGATACAACGCATGGAGAATCATTGCGGTTTCATGCATCCCTGAAACATTTCAAACCCCCTCCATCCCTCCATCAATGTCAATTGGTTTCGAAGCGGGTCTATGGGCCCACACGTCAAGACCAAGTAGACAACAATATTACAGGGATCGTTGCAGCCAAAGTGGTTTTGACTGCCAGGTGGTCGTGATGGGCAGCAGTGTCAACGTGTTGCAAGTGCGACTCCGGCTGCACAGCCATCGAGTCTCTCCAGTCATGGTACTCAAATGGGTCTTGCAAGCTCAGGGTGGGCTACTCGATTGCCATCACAGGCATCCAATGCTACAGATGCTCACCCGCATGTTTATCCCGCATCGCTGTCGTCAGAGCCCCTATGAACATTCGTTCACGACCCCTGCATGCGGCGCCCAGGTGTTGTCAGCAAAGCCCCAGCTTCTTGACTGAACTTGCCTGGTTCAACAATGAATGAACCAGTGGTAGGGCTGCTGCCTTGGGTGGAGCACCTTGTCGTTTCTGTAGAGAACGCAGGAGCAACAGTTTTGCTTCAACCTGGATCTGGGCATGTGCCAAGACAGGACGCTTTCGTGGAACCTGGCGTGGTATGTGGTGTGCTCCGGCACTTCAAGGCACAGAATCCTCTGAGGTCTCTGCGTGTGCATCCAATCAAGCGTGTAGCCTACCAGAGGCATTGTGAGTTACAACGCTTTATAGCCCTGCATTCCTGTAGGATTTCCCATGCTTCTGTAACCAGCCATGTAGTGCACATACCTCATATTGGCAACCGCATTGGGAGCAGCAAACAGAAATCGCCGTTCAGATAAGGGGGCAGGCGTTGCCACCTTAATGGATTGGCTCATCCTGTCCTTACCGACCCCAGTTTGTAATTTATATACTTCCGGTACAGTTTTCGTAGCCCTCTTACGATAGTGTGCATGATGTACTGCAAGGTCATGGGTGATAGACCGGTATGGTTCAGGCCCCGGAAGGGGTCAAATTTCCAAACCATAGGCAGGCTAGCATCATAGAAGAAGGCACTCTATTGCGAGGAAGTGAAAGTCAAGAAGGCTTCGTCTTTCCGGCTGAAGAGATAGCGCCATCTGGAAAGGAAAGGAAAAAATCTTCCGGCGCCGGTCTTGTGAGCGTTGCTCAGGTGCCTCAAACAACAAACAGACTAGCAACGGCCATCGCCAGCGTGGCTTTCTTGATTGAGTCTGTTTGTCCTTCCCGGCTCGGGCCAGAATCCAGGGCATGACCCGATGCGCTTTAGCCAGCTTGTTCCCCGCCTCGAGTGCTTGTTGCTTCATTCAGGGCAGGGTAGCTGCGTGTAGTTTATGGCAGCATCTGGGATGATGACTGACGTGCAATGTAGCGCAACTCATGGTTGTTGGATGCTTCTGGCAGGAGGGCTTATCGCCGCCTCCTACTGCACCCAAGTCGGCGGTTCATCTTGGAGTCCAAAGCATAGGCGCCACAAACGAGGCTGGTAGCATGGGGCTAGCTTTCGAAGAGTTTCAACAGAGTATGCGCATAAGGTTCCACTGCGACAACGCAGTGCCTTCGAGAGCAGTTGACAGCCGTTTTCCTGTTTTCCTGCGTGTGCAGGATGAGGAAATGCAGAACCTCAAAGCCGACGAATCGCCAGGTTACCTGGAGGCTTGGCAGAGGGGCAAGCTCGGTGTCCAAGTTCAGACCTGCACGCAGTGGCGCACATCATGCCGGATTGGGACGATCTTTTATGTATGGGGTCGCTGTGGGTCGCTTGCACTGTCCCTTCCCAGCTCGCTGTGACAGGTGGACCTGGAAGGTGCTTTCTGCCTGTTTTGCCATGGTCATTCGATGAACACCTCTGCAGCCATACCTTTTCTTGTTGAACAGGTGCAAAAGAGACATGAAGAGACCAGCAGGGACATGAGTGGCTCAGCTGTGGGGCATCTGGTTGAGCTGTCTCACGTTAGAGTGGATGAAGTGTTGTTTATCGTCCGGCGCGTTGCTTGAATAGCATACATGTGGTAGAATTCATAAACGTGGCCACCCTGTCGTAATTCTCAAAGCAGCCGGATATAGATAACGTATTGTAACATAATATGCATACGTTCACATATACACAGTTTTGATATATGCCGTGTTCATACATATGCATATGTCAACTTCATTAAACTTAATCACAACATACCTTTCACAACGTATTACGTCATCTCTGAACTAGCAAAAAGCATGTAATGCAATCTAAATGCAATGCAGATGCAATGTACATGTGACGTAAATGTAATGTAAATGTAATGTAAATGTAATGTAAACGTAATGTATTAAGGTAAATGTAAGGTAAATGTAAGGTAAATGTAAGGTAAATGTAAGGTAAATGTAAGGTAAATGTAATGTAAATGTAATGTAAATGTAATGTAAATGTAATGTAAATGTAATGTAAATGTAATGTAAATGTAATGTAAAGGTATTGTGAATGTAATGAAAATGCAATGGAAATGGAATGTACGTGAAACATCGGACTATGCTGTATACGACTGGGAGACGCATACGCCAGCGGTCTCGGTCTTTGTCTTCTTGCGATTGTGAAATATGTGTATTCCGAGAGAACAAGCTATATTCGCAAATGCTTCTGAACACTCTTCCGCAGTTATGCAATACTCATCTTCACAACGGATCATGATCAGAAAGGGGAATCCTGATAGTCCTAGTTAGATCCGAAGCAAATGGGATTCAATTTGGACCCGACTTTGCTTCTTTCAGAGCCAACATCGAAACATCCAATGTCAATAGAAGCCTACTGTGAGTGAACATTGGGTCCTGATAGATTGTCGTGTCGAGGATGCACATGCCGTTGCCATGCCATCCCTCAGCACTGACAAAGACTCTCCCAGATCATCAAAGTGTGAGAAAAGGTTGAGTTTGACATCGGTGTTGCGGCGGACGTACCAGTAGCAAAAACATGTGGAGCACAAGCTCTGGATGAAGCACAGTGGTTTGGTTGTACCAGCTGATTCAGCGTCAACAGCCACGTCTACACTTGTTGCCTCTGTCCTGGGGACTGGCACGATTGATTTCCTGAATCACTGACCCCCACGCCTCGCGGTAAAGCCAGACCAAATTCTTCGGAGCACATACGGCTCATGCCATGTCATGCCTTTTACGAACATGCCCCAAACACTGGAAGCCAGGTTTTTGCTTCCTTGTACAAAATGCTGCAGAAGGATGTTGGACGTTTCTGGAGCAAGATCACATTCATGCGTCTTGCGACATGCCCAAACCATTGGTATTTACAGCATTTTTGCTCCTTTCATGCCTCCTTCGAGCATGCCCAAATATTTTTGATTCCTGGTCGAAAATTTTGCGCACTGGATGTTTGACAGTGTGTGTCTTGTCACAAGGTTCGTTCATGCCTTTCGCTAGCCTGCCCAACTTGTTGTACGACTTACAGCATTTTGGTTCAACATATTGCAGTAAGATGTTGGACGTTCTGAAACCATGTCACAAGCGTTCATGCCTTCTGCGAACATGCCCAAGACACTGAAAAACTCATTTGAAACCTGGCTATGTCAGCGTTGCCTGCGCTTGAACATGTAGTCGGGTCCGAAGACCGTGTTTAGTCAACAACTGCAAACACGGAAAGAACAGATCAACAAAAATCTGGGCAAAGCCGCACATAAGCGTAGTGCTAGGCGTTGTACTCTTAGCAGGAGTAGGAGTAGGAGTAGGAGTCGTAGATGGGGCACGTCCTGAAATTACATGCATAAAGTGAAGCCAGACCCGCCATAATTACAAAACACTGGTCAGACTTGGGTTCTTTGGAGGGAGATGGGGGGTAAATGCAAAGTGCGCCAAGCTGGTGGCAATGGACGTTCCAGCATGCTAATGTCGCCACGGCCTCCTCTGGCGTACGTGCATGCGGCTGAAAACCAGCCTTTACTGCCGACCTCAGAGTGGAAGGCTGTCCGGCACAAAATGAAAGGCGACCAGGAGGCCAGCGATCGTCACAAAGGCGAAAGAAAAAAGGCGACACGAGCTACATGGGCACATATTGGGAGTTGGGCTTTGACTGGCTCGCCGGGTCCCCACCGTCAGCCGCGTTTCGAGGGATCTGCAGCTCTGTTCAATGGCTCAGGCGATGCTGCTTTTCGAGGAGCTCATGACTGGAACAGGCACCAATGTCACAAACGAAACTTCTTGAGCCCAAGGGCCAAGTCCCTGAGCATGTTAAAGTCTTGAATCTGATGAATCGGAGTTGGTGGCAGGCCCGATTGCTGACTCCACTTCCCTCGGGACCGTTTGCTCCGTGTGCGAGCGGGCCGGGCTGCAGCCTCAGATAGAGTCCGAGAGAGAGTTGACCCATCTCCCTCAAGCCCAGCAGACGAAGAGTAGTTGGTCCAGTGAGAGCTTTGAATTATATGTAGGTTGCACAGAGAGAGATTATGGGCAAGCGGTGATGCAAGTGCCGAGGCTTTGGCAGGTGGGGGAAGTTTACAACTTCATCCCTGGAATAGTTTGCTTCGGCTTCGTTGTGGATCGCGCGTGTAGTGAGCGCACTGGTTCTGCGCACTGCGTTTTTGGTGGTTGATGCTGAAAGGGTTGCACAGGTGGCATGATGTAGTCAGAGTTGCATGTAATGTCAGCAGACCTGTCGACCGGCAGGCTGGCCTGTCGCTTCTCAGCCGCTTCCGCAAACAGGGCCTAGAGCCTGGCACCGGCGCGCTGCGAGCTGCACTGTCAGCGCTCAGAGCCTGGGATCCCAGACTCCTAGCCTCTGCCGGTGCTTTTCCTCATCCTTTCTTGAGCTGGTGGTAGACACTGCCACCGAATGCACACTTCCATCGCAGCATTGGACGGGCCGACATTGAACGTCCGATACGCCCTGACATGTCTTCCCAGTCTGGTGGACGTTGGCAAGAGGCGCTCCAGCCATCACCTCAGTCTCATATTGGTTCACTGCAGAGCAGGGGCATGAGGACGGAGGCGTTTCGTGTCCTAACAAGTGTTTGCGCTTTTGAGCCGGATGATATTTCACACGCCAGTTTGTCTGACAGCTCCGATGAATTCAAAGCTTACAATCATCACTACTTGTGGCATTACATTGACATATCTTTGACGCCGAAGTGCGTTGAAAACCTTCAAGTTCAGAGGAAGGCCACTTGTAAACTTTATAGCCGTCCATCTTTCCTAGGGTTGATCCTGTCTCCGATCTCGTGGAGCGAGAGGTAAAACAGTTGGAAGCTTGTAGCAGAAGCGCGACACATGAAAGCCTACATCTTCTACTGCTGATTGCCTCAGGCTCTTGGGGGAGCTTGATGCCTCCTCTGCTGCAGATGTTGTTGCCTTCAGTGCCGCCGATGGCTCTGAGGGAGTATGTGCCCTTCGTGCACACCCGCGGTGTAATTAAGCAAAACGGTCACTAAAGAGGCCCTGGCTGTGCTGGAGACGGCGGGCAGTGGGGTTCCGAGACTCTGTGCACCCTCTGGCCTGGCCACTTTTTCGAATCAAATCGGGCCAAGGCTGGCAACAAGCTTTTTGCCTGCTTGATGAGATGCGTAGACGAGATGTGGCTCCTGACTCGTCTCACTCCCAGGACAACGGCTTTGGTAGTGCTGGACCGCTCCTAAGTGCGCTCAGGTATACCTATTCAGCGTTGCTGGGTGCCTGCAGAGCGTGGGCCAGGGAGGACGAGGCCCGTTCCCGATAGTGTTGGCTGATTTCCGCCGTCTTCTGCTGTTGTTTTCCAGTCTGCGGGACTACACACGGCGTGGGCTGTGCTCAAAGATGCCCAGCGCTGCGATGAGGCATGTTCATGCTGCTCAATGCAGCAGCAAGTTGCCAGTAGAGAGATGTGGATGCCCGGTGGCCACCCAGGCAAACGAGATTGTGATTGGCGCGATGCTGCAAGTACTTGAGTGGCTTGACCGGCAAACTGGCATCTACGTGGCCCTTCTCATACTAGCATATTTCCTTCTTGTCAGGTGTGCAGGGCTATGGGCAGAGGGGCTGGATTTGCTGCGCAAGGCCAGCAGCTCGCTTGGGTGTCCTGCTGCTCTGCTGACATGTTGCAGCTGGAAAAGGCTCCATCAGGAAGCATCAAGGGGCGTCCAAAGAGGCCTGCCGAACCGGCGTGAGAGACCTTGGACAGTCTCAAGTTTCTCCTTCATTTTGCATTGAGGCCAAATCTCATCAACTACGCATCAGCTGCAAGCGCGTGTTCGAAGGCCCGGTTTCATGGATAGCAGTGAATTGATTGGTTCTCAAGGAAGAATTTCTATATATATATATATACACACATACTGCGCCATCTCGGAGTGCTTTAGGGCCTCAAGTGGGAGTGCTGCTTCGACTTGCTCCGGGAGCTTGAAGAGGCGTGGCACTCTCGAGCGATGCGGGTGAGCCAGCAACACACATCAAGTCATAGCAGCTCTTGAGAAGATGATCATGCCTTGATTGGGCGCTTGCATGCTGCTGTCATGTGCCAGGGAGGCGTAATCCCTGATGTCGTGTTCCTCAGTGCGGTCATCAGCGCATGTCGAGCACCTGGAATCGTTTGGCATGGCATGGCTCGCATGCTGCGGGTGCTTGGAGGTACTCGCATGTAGCACAGGTAGAGGTGGTTTGCAGTTCTTCCGCCCTCTCGCGCCAGAGTGCAGCTTGCCTGCCGTCAAGTTCTTGGATGCTTGCTGTGCACTTGGGCTTGTCAAGGCGAGCGCAGCTTCGAGTGGCAACGAGCTGTGGCAGTCCTGGTCGCTTGGCATTCGGCTTCAAAAGCAGGTCAAGACAGGTCAAGGTGCTGAAGCCGTGATTCCTTTCAATCCCGGACATGATCCGTACTTCCATTTGCCAGGCCTCAATGGACGCCCCGGACACTGTGGCGTCCTGGGCTTGGTCACTGCATGTGTAGAACTCTGCACAGCCTTTTCCTCGTAATCCTTTTGGCCCAAGTCAGTGAGCATGGGGTCATGAACCGAAACAAAAATGTTATCCGGCTAGCTGCTTAGAAGCTTATCTCGAAGGAATAGCCTAGCATTGTACTGTGATGTCAGTCCGAAGCATTTGGATATTTGTCGTGAACTCCGTGAACTCCGTGAACGACATCAACTCATGACACAGCAGAGTTGTGGTCAGAGGTGGCGACATCGCAGGCCTTCTTCCTTCCCTTGCTCCTTGAAGACTTGACAACATTCTCTGCCGTGTCAGTGCTTGGGGGAGGAGATGGGCGCTTTTCGCTGCTGTTGCCCCAGTGCTGCTGTTGAGCAGGCGATGCAGCCCGGGATCCACATGTCCGTGCATGCTTGATGGGTTCGAACGTGCTCATAAGAGCTAGCCAGGCATCCAAAGCTGTCCTTCACAGCGACTCAGTCCACGTCGTGAGCTGGGTTTAGCGGTACAACAAACCCAGGCCATTTCTTGCAAAAACAGCCTCTGCTCAGGCTCCCTCTGCGACGAAGCGTGCTAGTCAGGCGGGCTGCCGCCGTGTGCGGTTTTGCAGCTTTGCACCTTATGCACAAAGCCGCCGCAACCTTCCAGGTGCCAGCCAGGCACGCAACCATCTACAATCGATGCGGGCTTAGCCGCAAAGTTGCAGGCGGCGAAGGCCGGCCCGGTGCCCCAATGAACACAATTCTGAGAACAGTTCCCGAGGACAATTGGAGACATTGAAAGCAGTTGATTTCTCTTAGTCACATGCCATCTCTGCAGGAGCGCGTAGCTCAAGCCAAGGAGGCAGTGAAACTTTTTAGGACAGGCCTCACTTGCAACACTCTTCCTACCTGTATGAGAAAGAAGTCTTTAATCTTCTGTCCAGGACTGAGCTCTGCGGACGCAGCTTCCTTTCGCCCGAGATCAACCGTCCGCTGCTCACAGAGATTTTCATCACCTTCGTCCCAAAGGCCACCCTCCCTGCATCTATCGGGGCGGCTAATGTTTGGACGGTAGTAGATTCTGGCCAGTGAAAGCCGCTATCATCTCAATCCACTGTTGCGCATTTGACAGAGTGCGGCAGCCATGCGGGAGCCGATCCTGGATAAAGCGTTGGCAGATCTTATCCCAGATCCTTGGATTCAATTTCTTTCTGAAACTTTTCTGGGGTATGATGCAACTCCACAGAAGTGCCATTGCGGAAGTACCGTCCAGCCAGCAAGCGTGAGACCTCCTTCCGAACACATTCTCAGGACATGCGCCGCGATGTCGAGGCTCGCGAGCAGGAAACGAACACTTGGGAATCCTGGCGTATCACGTTTGAAGCGGAGCGCATCGGAGGCCTTGGTGGCGTTGGTTGGCTCCATGGCCGCAGCCAGGCCAGGGGCCATTTCGGTGCCACCTGAGGTGGCGAAGTGATGCGAAGTGTCAAATCTCGGTTGTCACTTCAGTGTAGGCTGCCCCATGAGCCAGCCTGGCAATTAATGGCAGATGTGGTGGCGAAGGACCTGGAAACATGGAACTTGCCAGCTCAGTGGTTCCCAGTGCTCTAAAAAGCTTCAGGCTCAAGAGTGGAAGGGGCACACAACCATTCATGAAATGACAAGTCATGGCTTGGTTGTTTTGGCATCGATGGTCACGAGGAGTGCCGCGCGGCTTCAGCCAGACAGCTTACAGCTTTTGCCTGGGCCTTCGCAACGGCCGGTGAGCCCAGGCAGTGTAGAACTTTTCCGAACTAGTGGAGTGCTGGGTCACGATGGCAAGTCCAAGTCTGCATCGCTGGCCTGCAGGCAGGATCTGTGGGACTCTCTGAAGGCAGCGATGGCAGGCCCGCCCTCATCGATCCATCGATCCGTGATACAGAAAAGCTAATAGGTTATGTTGCAGCTGAGGCAAGCTCGCGGAACTTTCGCCAGATGAGCAAGTGACTTTTGCTTGGTGCCCTGGATTGCTTGGCATGTTAAAAGTCTACAGTCGCCTGTTGATTTCCTTGTAGCTCGTCTTATATGGGGGTTTAGGAAAAATAGGGGGTGCCCTTCTTTGGGATCCTTTGAAGGGGATTCTATTCTATTTGGGGCATGCCATAGTATGGCTATATCTTAAAATAGCAAACTACATATAAGTTATGATAGTCTTATATATTGTTAATATGTTTATATACATATACAAAAGTGGCGACGCCATATACTTGCACGAGACTCTCAATCACGTAGGACGCGGGTGATACAGCCGTGCAGAGGTTTGTTTGAGCGTGTGCACAAGCAGCATCGACCTTGTATCAATACTTGCACGATTGCCAAGGTCTTGCGCGGAAGTGAATCAGCATGCGTATCTCAGCTGCAAAAGAAATTCTTCTCAGCGCCCCAAAACCTGAGGCCCTGCCCCAAGTCCTGCAGATTGAAACCAAGGCTGAAGTGCTTTGAGATGGCTTGAAGTCGCTTGAAGTCGTTTGAGGCGAGATTTGTTTGGAGATGCCAGCGCGGTCGCAGCACCGAGACTCGGTCTTCAGTGGCTCATGTGGATTCTTAAGTTACTGGTAGGGGGTCAATGAGGTTCCCCCTTTGGGAGTCCTTTGCCAGGCTTTGAAGGGTGTGGACGACCCGCAAGAAACCCCACTCCAAAGCAAGGTTTTGACTCTCGGCTGTCGAGTGCAGATAGCGGAAGTTTCGTCGGACTCGAATCGTCAGGCAAAGGCCGCCCAAGGTCGTTCGCCCGGATCCATCCTACGTCTCTGACTCTTTCGCTTTCTGGCACATGAACTGCGTACGTTGTCCCGGCACCTCCTGTGACAATCAGCAAGCCTCTTGAGTAGACCTCAGCTGGCCTTCATGCGCATACTTTGGTGCAAGGGTTGGTTTCCCGACCAAGAACTCGTAGATTCGTAGATGCTTTGAGGGCAGCCTCTGCGCAGATGCTGGAGGCGCAAGCACACCCACGAATCAAGTCAATCATAATCTCGGTGTTCGACGTTGCCTTGGGAGGCCATCCAGGCCCTGCCTGGTGAAGTGCTGACCGATCAGGTGCCTCGGAGAGAGGGGGAAGCCAAGGAGGGGAAGACATGAAGACATGGCCACAGCAGCAACGTTATAATTTTTTATGGCTGCAAAGTACTTTCCCATGAGGTGCCCATCCGCTTGGTGCCAGGTGTGCTCACTGAGGAGCAGGGACAGGCCGCGGGTCAGGTGTCCGTAGACAGGAGGAGGGTATTAGCGGGGCCGGCCAGGCACTGATTCGCCTTGCTGACGATGCCCAACTTTGGTCGCAGTCCAGTCGTCGTGGAGCTCGAGATGCTGAGGGAGAGGAGAGTGGCAAGACGTGGCAAGACGCGGTAGGATGCGTCAAGTGCGACTCTGCAGTTTGTTGAGACAGTGTGAGGATGCTCTTCGGACTTCTTCCTCTGCAGCTCGGCCTGCGAATAGACGGAATGAGGGACAGCTCTTTCGGAAGAAGATAAGTGGTTGACACATCTTCAGGCAGTCCTCAGCGCGCCGAGCATGTTCGGGAACCCGGCCGTGCAGGCAGCGGCGAGATGCAATTCCAAGGACATGTCGAGGTGCCGCAGTATGTGTTGCTACGTGTTCTCCTGGCCTGGAGGCCGTCCGCACTTGGGCCTCTAAGTTGCTGCGAGTTCCAGAGGAGCCTGGTATCAGTTCGAGCCTTGTCCTGCCTCGGCTCCTGTCTTTGCAGAGGACTTCGTGGAGGCTCTGCAACTGGTGCGGTACCGTCAGGGCCAGCAGTACAGCGCCTTCGGCTGTTGAGACAGCAGCAGGGGAATGGATTTGGTTTCGGCTCTAGGGCCATTAGGACCATTAGTATCCCAGCAACTCTGTACCTTTACAGCTTTACTCTGAGGCACTCACGTGGACTGGGGTCGTCCACAGGACCCTCACGGTGAAGACTTACCAGTGGCATTTGGGCATGGCAGTGTGAGGGATGCGAGTGGCATGAAAGGCTGACGGACTTTCCCCTTACTGGGGGACAGGGATTGACACTCCATTTTGCATTGTCAGCCTATAGGATTCACTTGGAACCGTCCTTGGTAGACAGCATTCTCCTACATAGACAAAAAGGAATTTGTATATTCCGCCACTGCTACGGACAGATCTTCCGTTCAAAGAAATCTGAGATGCTGCAGTAACGCTTGCTCGAAGCTTGCCCTTTTTTTGATGCTCACGAGTTTGAAGATGTTGAAATTAGGTGCTGTTCTCCCCAAGCTTGCTCATTGAGAGTATCTTTGAGCCATTAGGTGGAACTTGTCATGTTCTGTTCATTTGCATGCGCATTGAGGTACTTTCCTAATGATCATCTGTTCGATACCATATCATAATGAGCTGTTGCACTTATACGTGATTCCGTCTCTCACGTCGGGGCTCACTCACATGCAGAATCGCTGCCTTTTCCCCCTCGAGGATGCCTCACTGTGGCTGGGAGGTCAGCGCACAGCCACAGCACTGCACCTGGACCAGAATATGGACATGGAAGGGAACTTTGTCAATTGTCTTTCACAGCAGGCAGGCAGGCCTCTGTCGCAACATAAGGATCTATCTCAACAGCTTGCCGGATGGCTGCGGCGGTGAGACTTCCTTTGATAGGCCCATGGGGACGATGTTGGCGTTGACGTTTTCTCATGCACGAAGAGTGGCCGTGGCGCCAATCGTCGGTGGCTTTATTGCAATCGTCCCTGCGTGACCAGATGCAGGCTTGGGGTTACCGTGCGGCCCAAGGCTGGCGCCGCCCTTGTCTGGCCGAATGTGTCTTGGCTAAGGTCGGAATGTGCTTTGGCTAAGGTTGGGGGTCGTTGTTGCGTATGGTGCGCAACACATATCCGACTGTTGACCATTCTGCCCAAAATCCTGGCATTGGCAGCAAGCAACCGCACAGGTAAATGCAAGTGGCCACCCGCAAGAACTCGTCGAGCATCGGGCCCTGCAGCTTGGTTGCATGAAGTACTCACGACGTACTTCGCGAAGTCCTCCAGATGGCCTTCGAGCTTACACTCTGCCAAATCAAGTCGTTGTGAAGGATGTACGAGACCGCGCCAACCAGAGGCCTGTCCTTTGCGACACCACCAAGTACGCACTCAACGTGCTTGCCTTGGTGGGCTCTGTGTCTGTGGGGGTTCCCTGCGCCTGCAGGTCCCAGGTTGCCCCCGTTTCAATGGGGCCATCGAATGGTTTGTGTAGCTTCAAGACTTTTGGCCTGAGGGTTTGAGGCTCGTGGTTTGAGAGTTGAGGTTTTAGGGTTAGGTTCTAGGGTTCTAGGGTTTGCGGGGGATGCAGAGCTGAGAGGGATCATATGTAGGGTTTCGCAAAAGCCATCTTCAAAGTAACGCGCTTCAAGCGATTTCCTACAAACTCCTAGTGCAGTAGTAATGGTGTGCTGGTGCGGGTAGCAGTGTGGAGCATGATGAGTGCAAAGCCTAAGGTGTGGATTCGTGAGAAGGCGCTGCCTACCTATGTAGGCCGAGCTTGAAACATTTCCTGCCTGAAGCGGGTCTCGTGTCTACAGGATGGACATAGGTTGACCTTCAAGTTCCTTGTGCTCAATGTGCCCAACGGTGTACACTGGGAGCTCAAACCCTGCATCGTTTACACGAGCCACTGAGTAAGTTCTCGAGGAGCAGTTTTACAGCCGTACCCTCAACCTACTAGGTTTGACCCCCAGCTTGAGCTACGCTTTCTCTTCCCAGGACAGGCTTGTACAGGTCTTGCGATTTTCTCTCTGGGATCGGCTTCTTTGCTCGCAATGTGCAGAAGCTGGTGCCAGGGCACCCTTCACCACAGCCTCAGTGGCCCATATACTAGTCGACAGCGCAGGGGCACTCGCCAAAGAAATGCATTGCGTAGGGTTCGTGCCACGGCATTATGAGCAGTTGACGCCGGACATTTGGTGCCACAACTTGACATCGTTCATGCTGACCAAAGCTTCCAGCATGCACATTCATGTGGGGCACCTGGTGCAATAGTCACATCGTGATTTTCGAGGATCAGTTCGACGATGCTTGCTTGCAACAAGGTCCGGAATTACATTGTAAGTGACCGGCTGAAGGATGTGAAATCTGTGCACAGCTCCACATCCTTCCAGAAGTTCAAAGATTCCATAAATAAGTCCCGGCTTTGCTGCAACTCTGCCAGGCTGGCAGATGGGCGGGGCTCTCGGCAGAGTCTGCGAATATTTGCTTCCTTCGTAGTGCAGCAAGACAACAGACAATGCGATGGAGTTGTCACTTGTGACTCATGTCGCCCGGCCCTCAACATGCTGCACCCTGAGGATCTCTCACTGGCTCTTCTTCGTGATGGGCTCAGGCTGTGCATCGAAGCGTTAAAACCCTGAACAGACCGTGCCTCGAATTCAGGGTCCAGATGGCTTTTAGATGGTTTTAAGCGTTAGGGTAAGGGTTTAGAGGGCTCAAGGGAACGTCCACAGCATGCCAGGCACGAAGGTGGATGGGTTCCTGACGAGATGGTTTCGGCCGTCGCCTTGGCACATGGTTCGTCCCGACATTCCCTGACACGGTGCTGCTATCAAAGGGTGTTGGGGTGTTCAAAATTGATGCCTTTTGGGAATGTTTGGGGCCTGTGAAAGGGTTCCAGGACCCTAATCTGGAACAACCCCCAGGACACCCAGAGCTCCAAAAACTTCCTAAACCAACCCCAAAACGGTGAGGTCCTGGGTGCCGGTCTGGGCGCCTGCGCCGAGAGTGGATCCTGGCAGCAAGCCATGCACCTCTTGGAGAAGGCGGCTCTGCATGTTGTGAGGGGTCTGGGGGGGGGTTCAGAGTGCGGGCCGTCCCAGAAAGCAAACGCTCCGGAAGCAGGAGTCAGCAAAAACACACCCCCCCCCCCCCCCCCCCCCCCGAGGAAGAAAACTGGGAGGTCCAGGTCGGAAAAAAAGAGAGCCGAGTCAGAAAAACCCAAAAGGCTGGTTTAGGGGTTTTGGGGTTTAGGGCGTTTAAGGTTCTTAGGCATTTGAGGGTTTCGATTTTTCGGGGTTTAGGGTTTATAGGGTTGAAGGTTTTGGGGTTTAAGGCTTTTCAGGGTTTAGGGTTTTGGGATTTTAGGGTTTAACGGTTTAGGGGTTTTTACGGGTTAAGGGTTTGTAGGGTTTAGGCTTTGTAAGGTTTGGGGGTTTCAGGGTTTGTTTTTTTGTAGGGTTTGGGGTTTTTAGGGTTTTACGGCTTAGAGTTTCTAGGGTGTCAGGGTTACGGCCCTACCCGAGTCCTTCCAGATGCCAAGCCGAAAACTTTAAACCTTAGGCCCCATCCGAAACCTTTCTAGATTCCAAGCTGTGCCCGTGAAAATTTGCCTTTTTTCTTTTTCTTCTGACTCGCCCCGGGTCGTTTTAGGGACTCGCCCCGAGCATTTTCCGACACGTCGTTTCGGACTCGGTCCCCACCCGGTTGGGTTAAGGGTTTGGGGTGAAGAGGTTTCTAGTTTCAGGGTGGTGCTCGCAACAGCAACTATTTTTAAGTCTTCGATTGCTCCAAAAAGAAGTAATCTCAGCGCTTGGGAGTGTTCGCCTGTTTGTTCGTAGTCAGCTCCCAACCAACTGCACATGCCCTCCCACTTTTATAGATGTCTCCTCCAACAGGTGGAGCAGGTGGCCAAAGCGCCCCGCAACGAGGCCAAGCGCCTCGAAGATGCCTAAACCTGCAAATGTCGCCTTGTGTCACTTTGCGTCGCTCTGTGTGTGTGCCGGTCATCGCAGGCCACTGCAGCTTCGGTATGGGTTCGCGAGGCAAGGAGCACAGCCTGGCACCCGGATTGGTGGCCCCCACATGACTTACTGTTTGCCCCCTTTGGGTGTCGAAGATGGAAAATAGATGCCAGCACGACCTTGGGCTCTACAATCTGCAGATTGCATGACATGGGGCAACCTGAGCACGAAAAAGACACTTGTTTCTGCTGCATTTGAGTGTGCTATAGTGTGCTTCAGGCGATGCTCGCGGCTATCCGTGCCGCAGCTTGGAAGCCATGTCTAGAGCTGTTGGACTTGCAAGGCCCGGTTGTTGCTTGGCCCGCCTTGACCTGCAACCTCAGACGCTGGCACCCGCCGTTTCCTTTAGTCGCTTTGTAAAGTGCGGCGGAGCAGACAAGACGTCCGAATCACAGCGAAGCCATGCTTGGAAATCGTACGTCAAAATGAAGGCCACGAAAGTCGGAAGCACTCTCGACCTGGAAAGGTGCACAGAGTGAGCTGGCTGCCCTGGGCTGTGCCGTCCGTGCTTGCGGCCTTGGCAGGTGCTTGCTAGAATATTGCCGAAGTTCTTGTGCTGCACTTTCTAGAGTCCTATTTGAGAGTCGCTGAGGGTTGGCGGTCCCCAGGAACTGGCAGGGAGCCCTCGAACTTTCGGCTGCGGTTGAAGCCAGGCCTCAGAAGCTCAGCTTGAAGCTTTCATGTGTAAGCTTTGTGATGCTTCGCAATGGCTGTCAATCGTTTCTCAAATGGTCTGCAATGTGCAGGACCTTGGGAGAGGAGTACGGCTCGCTGTGGAGCGCGCTGAGCTGGGCATGCCAGGACACCCTAGTGACACGCCTCGTCGTGTTGATAGAAAGCGGTCACAGTACAGGTATCTTGCAATGTTCGGCTCATTGGTGCCCAGCTGCTGGCAGGCCTCAGACACTCCACAGCCAGTCCAGCCAGTGGCAGGTCTCAGGAAGTTTGCTTTGCCAATGTAGCAAAAATTGGAGCCGCTTCAGCTGCAGCACATGCTTGCTTGTGGGAGTGTGATGTTGGAGTCTATGAAAGAAGCTCCACGATTGTCAGCATCTAATGCCAAGGAGGCAAGTGGATGCCAGTGCTCTGTGGGCTCCAGGAAAGGGGGCGAGTAACGCCTATAGTAGGACCTGCAACACTGTGTACTGTATGGCATCCCTTTCTTCGCAGACTCCCCCGTGAATCAAACCGACTGAAGCAACGGTTTGTTGGTCTTTCCGGGCTTGGCTGTAGCGCCGTCACCGTGATGGCCAGTGTGAGGCCCAAGCTTGATGCTGTTGTTTCGCTACTGCGTGACTGGCGCTGGCATCGGTCTTTACAGTGTACGGATCACCTCTTAGTCTAGGGAATGAACAGCTTCGTGAACCATTTAAGAGGTGTTTGACCGGTTTCTTTCACGTGGAAGGAGGGGTTTCGGATATGGTATCTCATCGGGCCCCTCACCCTTCACCTGCTGCCTGGCTCTATAATCTCTATAGCGACTTGTGCCGCTGTGATAAGAACATAATGGTTGCTGGACGCATGATCCTGGGAAAGATTTCGGAAAGGGCAGAGAGCCCTGAAACACCCGAGTGTGATGAAATCCGAGACCTCGTCACCGTTACAGAGGCTTTGGATGGTATGGAGTTGGGGCGCTTCCACGCCTGCCATTTGCTGCGCATGATCTTTTTCTGGGCAGTCCTGGCAATGACGCAGGAGTGCACTCCGTATCTTTTTCCAGGCTTGCGGAAGTTCTTGCAAGCGGACGACCGGTTCATCACCAGCTTCGCGGCGGCCTTTCCACTGGGCTGCGTCGTCGGCTCCGCGGCCGCCAGCTTGCTCTTGGATCGGCTGGGGCGGAGAGGAACTGTGATTGCCGTCAGCCCCTTTGCCGTGGCCCTAGGGCTTGCGAGCATGGCTGCTTCATCCATGGAGGACGCATGCAGAAACGAGCGAAACGAGTGAGAGCATGTCTGTTGCATGGGCATGTAGTATCATGTAGTCTTTGCAGCTTCCTGCAGGTTCTGATTGTGCTTCGGACGTTACAGTCTGTGGTGTTCGCTACCACGATAACGGCGCTCAGCACATGGTACATCGAGTTTCTTCCCACAACCAATCGTGGGATGCTGATGGCTGCCTACAGCCTTGGTTGGCCTGTGGGCCGTGCAGTTGTGATCTTCACTGCATCATTGGCGAGGACCGCTTGCAATCTTGAGCAAACTTCAGAAGCTCACTTGAAGAACGGTGAGGAATACAGAGCCGTAAGAGCAGAGTGCCACCAACAAAACGGGAGTGTTTTTGTCTTCAAAGGACGAACTGGACCAGCTTCATGGCTGTGACCTCCGCTGGCTTTGCTTTGCTCTTTCTGATCATGTCCGTGGCGGAGGAGTGACGTGATTCTCCGAAATCTAAAGCTAATGACCCGCCCAGTATACACCGTCAATTTGTGAATCATTGCGCCACCAGAGGAGTCCCCACGCTTCCTCGTGGCTTCTGGCAAGCTGTGCGAGGCCAACGAGGTCCTGACCAAGCTCTATGCCGTCAACCGGCAGAGTCCGTGGCAGCCTTCCCAGCTTTGCCTCCATAAGACCCATGTCGGAAACTCGTCAGGCCGTTGCGCAACTGGCACAGCTTGGTCGCAGCTGCTCGAGAGGGAAAACCGCCAATTGATGATCTTTTCCTTGGCGCTTTTTGGAGTTCTGGCCTCTACTACCGTGCTGCTCGATACATGGGGCCCAGGGCTGTACCACTCCTTACTCGCCCCAGAGTCGCAAGAACTGCCAACTGGAATCCTGATGCTCTTTAACATCGGCGACTTGACTGGTGTTGCAATCTCTATCATGATCGTGGATCGCATTGGAAGGGCAGGCAGCTTTGTGGTCGGTTTCTTTGTACAGGGCACGCTGTTGGCTCTCATAACCTTGGTCTCTGCCCACCATCCTATACTGTATAGCTTGCAAGTTTTTTGCGGGACGCTCAGTGCCGCATGTCGCTGCTTTGGGTGGGAGTCTGCGCAAATGTGGACTCTGGAAGCCTTTCCCACTGAAATCCGAGCCATTGCTTTCAGTACATCGACTGCAGCCATGCGTTTCTTTTCGATTTTGTCCTTGAGAATGTCTTCACAATACGTACACAGCTTGAGCGCTGCCACTTCTCTGCGCTTCCTGGCTGGGATGCTGATCGCTGGGGGCTTCCTCAGTACAGGACTGCTGCCCAAGGAGACAGCACAGGAGCCCATGAGTGAGGGAGGAGATGTAAAACATTACTGACGAAATAGAAATTACCACATACCACATCGGAATGCAAGCTAATCTTGTCGAGCTTTCCTTACTGCCTTCAGCCGCACCTTCGTTTGTCCTTGAGCTAGCATACCTAGCGGTTCCTACCACAGCCAAGTCTTCGAAACACCGCGGTTGAGTCCAGGACAGGAAAGCACTTTGCATTCCTGCTCGTTAGTGCAATAGACACGTTCGCAGAATGGCAAAAAACATGGTCAGCTGCGCGTCGTTGTCTGTTTGCGCATCTTACGTGTGCGTTGTTTGACTAAGCCCCCCTTTGCTTCCGCCATAATTTGCGCGCCACTTGTAATGTTATTGTCAATATTTGGCCCTTGTTTGACAAGGCATTTTGCTTCAGTGGCACATGCAGAGCATGCTTTTGCAGGCCAGAGTGGGCGCCAGGGGCTGGGCGATGCTTGAGGCGATCATGGAGCTCCGCTTTTCTTTGCTGCCTTCCTTGCACTTGGAGCATGTGGACAGTGTCGCGATGTATGCTTCAGACTCTGGTGCAGTTGATAAGAGTACAGAACCAACGTAACCTACCCGAGCTGCAGGATGGCAACGATGGCCCATGGGACGAGGCGGGTCAAGCGCAGGTCTCACACATCAAACTCAAACTCGAAGTGCTCGCATAGACATAACTGTGACAAGTGCACAGCTTGGAACGCATTGCAAGACAACATGCTACTAGCTAGTTGTTATTGAAAACATGCTCGTAACGATCGATCGCGAGTGAAAGAAACTAGTCATAGGAAATACAACAAGATGAAGTTCTTGGCGAAAATTCGTTTAGTAATACACCTCCACGAGGGATATCAACACCATGAATCGCAGGCATGAAATTAACATACCTAGAGACGAGACATACTTAGGCGGCGCTGCGCCTGTCTGCACGTGCCTTCCGTGGCTGGCGCCAAGCTGCGGCCCAAGAAGGGGCCCCAGGGGCCCCCGGAGCCCCCGAGGCCCCTGAGGCCCCGCAGCGGCGCTCCTCGGCCTCAGCGGTGCTCGGCAGCGCCCTGGACATGAAAGAGACGAAAGACTTGAGGGAAGTAATGAGAGACATAACGGACGTGAGGGACATGAGTGAAATGAGCGAAATTGGAGGAGAGATTGCGGGAGACCTGCGTTTTTTTTTGAGGCGCTGCGTACCGCCACCTTGGCCTCGCACGTCGTCGCAGTCGGCAGCCACTGGCCACAGAAAGAGCTTCGCCGTGCTCGGCATCTGCGGTAGGGTACTGTAGAGTTTTGAAATGCTCGTTGTGCAGTCTTTCTGGCTGCAACATGGTGCTTGTACATGACCCGACTTCGAGGTCTGTGCAGACGGAGCCGCCCTATGAGCATGCAGGCGAGTGGCAGGGTGCAGCAACTGCAGCGACGCGGGGAGCTCGAGCTCAATCACAGCTAGGCTGCACACAGTGTCAGTCAGTGTCAGTGTGTGTGTGTGTGTGTGTGTGTGTGTGTGTGTGCGTGTCTGTCTGTCTGTCTGTCTGTCCGTCCGTCGTCTGTCTATCTGCGACGTGATCGCATGCAGCCTGCGTTGCTGATATGCTTTGGACCTCAGCGTCTGAATTCGTCCAAGGTCGAGTGCAGGGCCTGCTGACCCACAACAGGCGGCTCCAGGCGAGCGCGATCAGCCGTCGGGCAGGCGCTTTCTGTGACTTTACAGCATTCGTGTGCTCTCGAGTTTTAGGAAGCAGGACCCCCATTTTCCTAGAGGCCTCCAGAAATAGACGAGTTGGGCGAGCAAGAGCTTGCGAAGCCATCCGCGCACCCTGGGACACCGTCATCTCCTCACCAGCTCCTCAGCCAGAAAGCCCATTCTTTCACATTGCAACGAGTTTGCATTGCGGTTCCTTAGGGGCCTCTTGGCCTCTTGGGTGTCGTGTGATGTGTCGAGCGTACCCCTCTCCGTTGCCTTCTCCAAGGCTTCAGGATGCCCAAGCGCACATTCGGACGACCTCAGAAGTGGATGCCTCAGCCCTCTTGCAGAATGGACCTCCTCAGCCTGATGGGTCGCAGCCAAACATGCTCCTTCGACGCAGCTGGCACTTTCCTAGCTGTCTTTCTTTTTTCTTCATCTTCTTTGTGAGCCTGTGTAGATCCCAGGATCGCGGCGTCGTCGCAGGATATACCCGTCCAGCTTGCTCGAGCTGTCCAGCCACCTGCGTGCCCAAGCTGCAAGCGCCGTTGTTCCTAGTTGCACTTGCAGCTACAAGTAGAGGTTGAGTAGCAAAGCTCGTGTCTGCTTCGTTCCTTCTCTGTCCGTGCCCCGGTGGCTCAGGCTCTTTGATCAGGCAGAAGCGACCCCTTCGCAAAGCCCACAAAGTCATGGAGTCTCCGTGGCCTCTCCGGTTCATGAAAACCCACCAGACACGGCTGAGTCTGAACATACCGAGCCCCAGCACCTCGCTGAGCCGGCTGAGCCGGCTGAGCCCACCCGCGCTTCGGCACGGAGCCCATTCGATGAGTTGGATGCCGACGAGACGCGTTCGTCACATGAGGGCGAGGAGGCTGCGCTCGAACTGCAGGGACGCTTGATTTGTGATGTATTTAGGCTCCGGACATCCCGCAAGCGAACACGAAACTGGCTCTCGCAGGATATATCGTGGCACCGTGCCGGGTATCCTGAATATGGCACAGACGGCGCAGACAGCACCAGGCTGAGCAGTCCGGCTGTGTCGGCGCAAGACTGAGTAAGCTGCGCATTGAGTTCATGCCTCGTCACTTGTGATTGCTGTGGTTGTTGTGTTTGTAGTGTTTGTTTAGTTTGTTGTGTTTGTTGCGTTTATTGTTATTACTGTGTTTGTTATTGTGTTTGTCGTGTTTGGCGTGTTTGTCCTGTGGTGTATACTTTCTGGCGACTATTGTGGTGGTTGTTGTGATTGGTGTAGTTGCATCGTGGCTGGTTGCTGCTGCTGTCATGGTCATTTCTATCGTCGTCGTCGCCGTCGTGTTCGTGGTCGTCGTCCATTGCAAACTAGTCAGCTTCCCCAGTTTCCAAGATGCCAGTAGGAACCAAGCCGGCCATGGACCGTTAGCTCGCCAGGCCTGTCGACAAGAAGTGGCGTGTACTTGGCCAGGAGCCTAGAGGAGCCGAGAGGAGCCTAGGAACGTAGTGTCAAGTGCTTTTTTGGACAACTCTGCCCATGTCACGTTTCGCAAGGTGCTGATGAAGAACTGCCACCACGTGCCTCCGAAGGTGCTGCGTTCCCAGATTACAGCACGCTGCTTCACGTATCAACAGCCTTTGGCGAGGCTCGTGAAATTGCTTGCCATTGGGTGGTTCCAAGAGGGCCTATGAGTTCCGTATTTCCTTTCGTGGTTGCAGCAGGTACGTTCAGAGTTTCAGGGTTTAGCCTTTGGATGGTACTAGTGGTAGGTTTAAGTCGACCCTGCCGGGGTGAAGTCGTGCCAAGCCCATGTGCCGCAGTGTTTGGGCTTACTTTCCCATATCCCCAACATATCTTATATTACATCAGACCCAGAGTTTTGCGGTCTTGTAGTACTGTGCACATGGTTTTGGAACATTTCCGGATCGTTGTAACCCCGAAGCTTCCGATGCATGAAACCATTGCAAGCATTCCCCGCAAGGCGGAAGTTGTCCCAATCCCAGTGTGCCCCTGGGGGAACGCCAGGTATTATTCTTTATATCAAAAGCCAGTGCCTTGCCTTACCTCGCGCGGGCCTCGCGCAAGGTCGCGCGACCCTCGCGCAGGGCCACAAATATGCCCCTCCCCAAAACAATTGATTTTCCTTCACACTGCATGCGAAGTTGCCGTAAAACCATCCGAAAAACCATGTGCCCCTGCAGTTTCGCAATTCAAAACCGCTTACAAATGCTGTTTTCAGGCTTCTCAACCCACTGTGCACAGCTCCGGTGCCATTTTTGTAAAAAGGCGCGAAAGCTCTCAAAAGCCATGTGCCCCTGGGGTTTCGCTGTTGCTGGGCCGACTTTACACCGCCTGGGGTGACTTCCTTCCTCTGCCTTGTTTTGCTGTGTGCCGCAGGGGTTGGGCCGACTTTACACCGGGTGGGTCGAGATAAACCCGGCGCTTGTAGGGTTTAGGGTTTATAGAGCTGAGGGAAAGAATGTACATGCCTTACCCGATGCATTCGAATGCATGGCTTACAGATGAGAAGTTCTGAGGCTTCCAGGGACAAGGGGCCTGTCGAAGGTGAGTTAATCTGACTCTGAGGCTCTCCTGCTTGCGGAGCAGAGGCTGAGGCCCGGCTGGCTGCCGTGATTTCTCGTGTTTTCTCATGATTCACAACAACGGGCCACGGGAAGGGGTCGGAGCGGAGTGCTTTGTCCAGGCAAGGCTGCCGCCAGCTCATGGCAAGCTGCATCACGGCGTGGAGGGAAGGTGCACGGAGAAGACATAGCTGGAGAGAAAGCAGCTGGACTGACAGAGAGCCTGACAGCTGAAAAAACGGCCGCAAGAGTCAGGGAGGAGCGAGGGAGAGCGCAGGCCTGGGCTTCCAGATCAGCGTGTCCTTGTGGCAAAACGACGAGGAGAGCATGTTGAACAGTTGAACAGCGGGTTGCTGGTCATTTGCATTCGCACTGCGTTTGCACTTCGTTTGCGCTGCTATGGTTTGCTTCGCTTGAAGGAGGAAATGCGCCGCTTGCACCTGCGTGGTCTGGCGCCAACCTGAGACGGGGGCTGTGCTGCGGTCACGCACCGCAGATGTGGTGTCGATTTCATTCGAGGAGCTTCGTCTCGAAGGCTGCCAGGCAGTGCGTATCAAGGACAGTAGAACTCTCCAATGACTCTTCAAAGTAGTTTTTCGACGGTCTTGAGTCTTGTGAATGACTTAGTTCTCCTGCGCGTTGCGTTCTCCTGCAAGGAGCGTGAAGCCAGCATCGAAGCCGAGTCCGCATTGAAGGCCACGGAGAGATGTCAGCGGTGTTACAGTAGCTCGGCTTTTGGGGCGGCTTTGTGAGTCTCACGAAAGCGCGGCGCAGCGTGCCCCCTTTCCCCCCCGAAAGAAGAGTTTAAAGATGGTTTATAAAGCGTTCACAGAGTCACAGAGTGGTCAGAGAAGGCCAAGTTAGAAGACGAGATGCAGAAGGCCGAGGCCGGCCTTGAGGATTCTTGGCATATGAAGCTTAGGGCTTAGTCCGCTGGAGGTGCGATTGCGAGAGGAGTTTCAAGCCCAACTCCAAGCGCAGGCTCTACTCTACTTTTGTGCGACATGACAGATCTTGAATCTCTAGCGAGCTAGGGGGTTCAGCTTGGGGCTGTGTGCTCAGTGGATGTCTTGCATGTATGTGCAGCCATCTGCAGCTGTGAAACCTCAGAGCTTGCAGAGCCCATACAGCCAACCCAGCCCTACGCCGACACCTCACTTCTAAGTCTCTTCATGTCTCTTCTCTGATGGTGAAATTGTGCTCCTACTTGGAAATCGACATGCGCATCATTAGCAAGTGGACCCGCCCTCCCCGGTGTATTCAGATCTTATTACCAACAGGTCCCTGCTTCTAGTCAACTTCTTCATTCGTCGTTGCAAGTGAGAAAAAAGTTGGATCGACCAAGCCACCCAAGTTTATAGTGGAATTCAAGCTTGCGCAGCTTGTGGTGCTTGTTTGCTTTGCTGCCCAGCTTCCTGGCCGCAAGTTGGCTGTCGATTATTTCAGCGATGAACTCGCAACGCATGCAGTGCTCTTGTGCTCGGCGCGGTAGAGCTCGACAGCAGCACAGCGCATGAAGGCTTTCAAGAATGGGCGACATCAGCCGGGAAGAGATTTGTTCCTTGGCTACGGATCTGCGGGAACTGGGAACCTGGAGGGATGAGGGATGGAGCAGTTGACTGGATGTGGGAGTGAGCGGCTTCACTTCTGGAGGCTCCCAGCTTCGACAGGCCCTCGACCTTCGAGCAAAGTATTGCGAGAAGCTGCCGCCAAAGAGGAGAAAGAGAAAGTGAGTAGCAGCCACAAAGAACTTGGGAGGTGTGTGGGCACCGTGCGCAGGAGCTCCTTCCCAAAGTTGGCAGAGCTGGAGTTGCAGTGGCAGGACGGTTTGATGCAGGTGCGCTGCTCGGCAGCAGAGGGCAGTCGAGAGCTGGAGAGCTGACCATGCTCTGCCCATGGTGCTGTACGTCAACGTTGCCCTTTGCAGTCTAAAAAGATTTCGGAAGCATCTGAGGAGAGAAGGGCACTGAGGAGTCGCTCTTCCAAGTGCCGAGCCTGGACGACTACTACGATGACATGATCCCAAGCTGCAACCTGCACAGCTGCAGTTTTGCTGGAGAGAACAGAGGTAGAATGCAGTTCTAGTGTACCGACAAACTACTACTACAAATCCTCTGGAGCTGCTCGTTCAAGCATAAGCTCACGCTCAGGCTCACACTCACGCTCACGACGCTCACTCTCTCTCTCTGACTCTCTCTCTCTCTGGCCCTCCCTCTCCTCCCTCTATTATCGGCTTGCAATTTGCTCAGGAACACATTGTTTCACATCAGGCCTGGGTGCGAGTTCATGATCAGTTTTGGCTAGTCGTCTGCTGTTTGCTGGCAGATGCAGCCCGTCTTCTCGCGTTGGAGTCGACCAGTTGCTTTTTGTTCAGCGTTGGCCACTGATGCAGGTCTTCTGGACCTGTTTCCAGCTACGCGTATCAGAGGCTGAGATTGCTGCAGACCAAGTTCGAGCTGTACACCATGGTGACTTGGCTGCCCGACATCGGCTCTGTTTCTGACCCTCTCTGTGCGTGAATCTCTCGTGGAATTTTGGTCAAGGTCTTTGGGGAGCAGGAAGCTCAGGACGTCCTGGTAGGTCATGAGTCACATCTCATCTTGCAGCACCTTTCACGGCCAGATCGAGCCTGCTCCCATGTCAGTGGCAGGATGCGATACAAACAGGGCACCGAGCACCTTGGCGTAATGCAGGTCGTTTATGTCGGTTCACAGGTGATCTAGCTGAAGAATCGAGAGGCAAAAGCTGCGCGTTCATGAAGGCACATCACGTTGATACTGAGGACTTCTACAATGTGAGGAAAGTGGACACGCACATTCATCATTCAGCTGCTACTTGCCTGCCCAGGGCAAGAGGAGTTTCAGTGACACGTGTGTCCTCTGGTATCTACCCTCAGTTCTTAGGCCATGAACGCAAAGCACTTGCTGCGGTTCATGAAGAAGAAGCTGAAAAGGTTCGCTTCCGACGTGGTCGATGTGACCTGGCGGGACATGGCTGGATCAGCACCAAGAGCCAATGTGGACACAACACAATCGTCAACACATACACACGTACGTAGCTCGATGCCATCATGCAGGCATACATTTCCCGAGGCAAAGCTGGCTTGGGAGACTTGTGCTTCAGATACTAGACGTCATACGAGGTAAAAGATGGAAAGCAGCGGACGCTCAAGACAGTCTTCGATGAGACTTGCCTGAGATGCTTGCCGACAGAGAGCACCGTGCCCGCATCATGGCACGTCATGTGTCAATATATGTGTCAAGGACATGGGCATCGGCTGGACCGATCTGTGCATCGATCGCTTACAGGCTTTGCAAATTGCTGTTAAGAAGAAAGTCAGAGATCTACGAGTTGTGCACACATGCCAGGTGTGGGCAGACAAGAGCTGCCTTCACCGCTTCGATCGTTTCAACAACAAGAAGCTCGGCTGAGAGCAGAGTGAGCGGAGCGCTGGTGGAGTGCTAGGGCCGTCGGAGTCCCAATTGTCCCCAAGAAATCTTTGATGTTTGACCCCAGGTATTCGCCAATGGGGCAAAACGAGCTGCGTACAATTTTCCTGAAGACCGCCTCTTGGCCTTTCATGGGTTCAGTTCCCTGCGGTCATAGCGGTTGACGAGCCTTTGACGAGCTGAAGCCTCTGACGTGTTCCCCTACGCCGAAACCTGACATGGAATGTCTCTGAGCTTAGGCGAACGGATATTTTAGAATCCTAGTCATAACTCACAGCAAATATTTCCCAAAGAGAATGCTGAATGGTTCACATGGTTCAAATGGTTCAAAGAGTCTTTGGAAGGCATTGCAGGGCCAAGCCCCAGGGTCGGAGAATCAACCAGCGTCGCTTTGTTGGATGATTCGGATGTCCTGACTGCCCACAGTTGAATGTTGGCTATGATCGGTCGGTTTCCCATCAATGCAGGCCGATGGGTCCTGTGAGGCCTGACGAGAAGATGGGTCCCCCCAAATTTGCAGATCTCGAGTGAAAGTAGCAACAGTATCTTGACTAAGCAACTTCAGGACAATGCTATGGGCGGTCGTTACCTTGCTGAGCTCACGCATGCAGCTTGACAGAAATTGCAGGAGCCACACAAAAGGTTAGGCAGGACAGGAAGGTGCTCGTGAATGATCGCTCTGTGATGCATCGGCAGTGTCGCTTGCAAGCAGCATCGATGCCGAGGAGTTGATCTCTGATTTGGAGGAGTCGAAGTACCAACATGCTGAGTGGCGACTCTCGATATATGGGCGCAGCCTTGACTGAAGTCTGGACATGTGTCATGGGAATTTCATTCCCAACTTGCTTCATCCTGCTTTACTGGGCCTGCTGTCTTGAAAGTGATCTTCGTGCGAGCAGGCAAGATGTCAGAATGGAGCAGCTTGAGCAAGTGGGTCCTTGGACGTGGCGGCAAAGGACCAAGTCTGGTTTCCAAGGGTGTCTTCAGCAAGCCCTCAGCCTGTTGCCTTAGATGCTGCAGGATGCGGCAAAGCCCTGCTCTCGCCCAACATCCGATGGATGATTCAGATCCCGAGGCTCTTCTCCTTGCCACTGGGCAGCACGCAGAGCCACATCTTGATCAAGGCATGGGCTAGGACCACGAGAGGTCATGGGCATGCGAGGTATAAGGCTACCGGTCAGCTGGACAACTTCGGCCAGATGCACCCAGACCTGCACAGAGATCGGCCATGCCGTGTTGAGTCGTGTTTTGCGGAGATGCCACTTCAGCCGAGTATCAAAAGCAGCTGGAGGTTGATTGGACGTGCACAGGTTGATGCGTTCTGAAGTTGAAGCATCTTCAGCAGTTGCAACCAGGTTGAGCAGAAGGGAACCTTGCAGCAGCGCAGCTGAACTCTGCACCCCCCTGTCGAGATTCAGGCTTGAGAACATCTTCACCCCACTCTTCGACACAAGCTCAGCATTCTCCCATATGCCTTTGCGCAGCACGGGGTCGGACGATGTCTCGTTTCTATACTGACGAGGAAGCCACACTCTTCCCGGAGAAGCATGCTGACGTTGCGGAGTTCCTTCAGCACATCAGTGGCCAGGGTCTTGGTAGGACCGGAACAAAGGGCGCAAGTCGGCATAAACCTGCCGAAGTGCGTGCAAAGTGCGCTTCCAGAGGTTTCGACACCGTAGACGACGAAAGCAAGTCCGAGAAGCCGGTCGATCGGACGTTCTCCTCGAAGTCACGGCCGCCGCAGCTCTGGGACATTGGAGACAATCCGCAGGAGCCTCGGAGAGCCTCGGAGAGCCTCGGGAGAGAGGATTGGAGAACTTTGAGTTGGTCCGGAAAACTGAGACCTGGGGGGGAGAGGATGCGGCCTTCCACTGCTGCACGGTTCAATCACGCCTAGGTCTTACAAGTACTACTCGTACTTCATTCAGACAAACTTGCGCGTGCTGAACATGCTCAGACACCAGAAGCCTGGATGCGTTTATGGATGTCTTGGTAGTTCTCGAGCTGTCTCCAACGTATGTCCATCGACTGACTTGAGTTGCGGCCATTGAAGGATGGGTCTCAACTGCTTCGACTATCGGCCACATGCCGGAGAGGCGTGTCAGATTCATCGGCGTTGGCAGTTGGTCATGTTTCTGCCCCACGAGGCAGGTGAAGTTCATCACTTGGACACTGCCTTTCTGCTAGCTGATGGTGCCTGGGCGGAAGTCAGCTGTTCTACTTGTCAAGCTTGGATTTGATTCGTAAACGACTTGTAGCCAAGCATTCCATCAAGAGACGGCCAATCAACGGGCGCCTCTTGTGGCATCCTTTGTACGATCATGTACTGCCGAGTGCTTCTCGCTGCCCTCAGCAGGAAGACTCAAGACCGGAATGGCACATTTCCAATAGCCCAGTTAATAAAAACTCTGCTTTTCTGGGGTACAGAATCTAGAAAAATCTACGTGGCCCCGTCGGGAGCCGTCTTAAGCCCTTCTTCAGATCCCAGTCCAGCCCTACTTCAGCCCGCTGGAGCACCTCCTCAAATTCTTA